TATATTTGTCGCTTTATGTTTAACTTAAATAGTAACAGTTTTAGATGTAAAAGCGGTAAATATTAAACGTACAAAAAATTAGTAAAATGTCTCAATATAAAACTTAAGTGTGCGTAGTTAACGTTTTGCAAACGTTGTCTTCAAAATTGAATAGACACTGCCAAACAAATATCAGATCATTGTAAAGTCTAATTGGATCGCAATAAACATTTTTACTTCGATAGTCATGATAAAAAGGCATTGTATTAATATTGAAAATTGCTCCGTTAAACGAAAATTAAGGAAAAATAATTATTTTTAGTAAACCCATGTAAAATAGAAAATGTATAGGGCTAATGAAATATGTAAACGATGTTGCAATATTAGTGCACCAGTTAATGGGTTTAGATTCTTTAAATACAATATAAAAATGATTCAAACACATCGAGTCATTACAGTTTACATGAATTTAAAAAATAAATGACCAGTGGTAGATCCACTGTTATGAGAATGAGTGAGTGTGTGCGAAACTTTATTTATAACGAACGTAAAAATAAATAATCGTTAAAAAAATTTAACTTATTGACTTGCTCCTTTTATGTCTCACAATGTTATTTCTTTTTTGTGATCTTTAGTGAATACAATTTTTATTTTAGTATTAAAAAATAAGACAGTATATAGTAAAATATATTTATTGTAATTCAAAAGATAACTTTAATACAAAAAATGAAAACTCTAAGGTTTTATACGAAATAATTAATTTAATGGTAAAACATGTACATAATTCCGGATGTGTAGTCGATTAAATTTAATTTGTTCAAAAATAAATATAAGAAACGTAGGACAGTTTGTTTCGAATAAATTACAATACATAATTTTTTGTTCGCTTATTGTAAAACAAAATTTAGTAAAATCGATCTTACATTAATTTCGACCCTTACGTTAATTAACAATCTTGTTCGCAATTATTTCGCATCTATTACAGACAATAATTAATTAAACTATGAACAACCAATTAAAAACAAATGTTTGTTTTTAAGGTACTAATTTAACTTAATTAAAGAGAAGCCATTTATAACGCTTAAATGTGCACAAGTATATATTTGATATTGTGTACTTTTAATATAATAAACAACCTTTAGCTTCTATTGTGTATTTGACAATTCCTATTTAACGAAAATTTTGTTAACGAGGATGTATATAATGATATTACATATCTGCAGCACTGTACTATCATAGTTAAGATAATGTTCTTTGTTTCTCAATATGAGAAAGCTACTGTTTATTTTTATGAAATTTTAAATGTATGATCTCACTCTGGCTGTAGACGGCGTTCATCTTTCGTATAATGCTTTTAACAATTTCTATAATTATCTTCATATGTTATTAATAGTTTAAGTTTTAATAGTTATTAAATAGTAGAATATTTTTTTAGCTACACATAAGTTAGTTATAATTGTAAAGTAAATGAAATAAATGGAGGCAGCAGTCAATTAGTTGGGTTAAAGACATTAAGAAAATTCATGATATCTATAATGAAACAATTAATGTTTTCACCAAAACAAAATAGATTCCATGTATAAAAGATGGCTTTCTGATACATAAAAAAAAAAATTTTTAATGTTCCCAACAAACACCTTCTTACTGGTGAATCCATGTATCACAGAGCAGTTAGTATTCTGCCTTTAGACATTCAGTTAAACCAATTGATTAACTCTGCCATATTAAGTCTTATATTTGTAGTATAAAGAGCATTAAGAATTATTTAAATTTTCACACAGAAACTTGAAAAATATGTAGTTTAATTGGTGCTAAGTTGGAATTTACTTTTTACAATTATTTACTATTAATGCGGAGTATAAAAAACTATGTACATAGGTATAGCTTTGAAAGTCGCACAGGCCAAACAATTTTTATCCGCACATCAACTGAACAGAATAAATAAATAATTCATTCCTCTTTTTTTATATTAACATAGGTGGACGGGATTAAGTTTATATTTCTTAAGTATGCATGCAAAACTTTTAGTTGAGTCAAAATAAAATTTCATATCTTTCGAACTGTGATTGCAGTGCAGCTTTTATAACTATGAATAACCCGATACACTCGTAGAAAATATGTTCAATTTGGCAGTCCCGTTGTAAAGTATTCATAATACATATTTTTAACATACAGATTAAAAAAAAAGTTCATCATAGATATTTTTCTTAAAATAATAATATTTTCTATAAAAAGCTCTTGATATTTATAATTTTGTCATTCTTTTATAACATGATTTTTTTAAGATATTATACACAGAATTAATTAAAACATTATTTTGCCTTTAAATTAGTCATAATCATTTACCTCTACAATTGATATCACTTTAATAGATAAGATACAATTTACCCGTCCACCAATTAATACATTCAGTGTCTGAAGTAATAACTGTAATCAATATATGCAGTTATACTTTATGTGTGAAGCTAATGTACCAGTTGAAAAATGATCATTCATTCTCATCTCATTTGTACAATTGTTAGAGTGGCACAGTAACTCACATTGAACATATACTTTACATTTTAAATATCTTATTACATTCAAAATGAATTCTCATAATGTACGTCATGTCTTTTTTAAACGTCCAACAATCCATTCGAGACCTTGATAAAGCCTGAAATACAACAAATTGCTTTGTTTTATAAGATGGTAACATTATATAACTTTATCAATAAACTCTATCCTTACCCTTCTCCTGTAAGTGCACAACAGCTTTGTATATGCCACTGATGTTTTTTGATTGATGTCAAATCTAGTTGTCTAGAAATTTCAGCAGCTGTCATACTGCCTTTTAAATCTTGCTTATTAGCATAAACTAACACATTGGCTTTACTTAATTCTTCATGATTTAACATTGAATATAATTCTTCTCTTATTACACCAAGTCTTTCTCTATCTGTACTATCTATAACCATAATTATAAACTCAGTATTAGTGTAATAAGTGGACCATGCAGCTCGTAGACTTTGCTGTCCACCTAAATCCCACATTATAAAGTGGATATTTTTCCAAACTACTTCTTCAACATTCGATCCAATGGTTGGTGATGTATGAACAACTTCATTCATTAGGAACTGGTATAATATAGTTGTTTTACCAGCATTATCTAAACCTACCATAACTATTTTATGTTCTGAAAAATAAAAACATATAAATCTATTTAACAATATATAAACTCATATATATGATTATATAATGTAATATAATTGAGATTATATTTGTACAAGTAACTGTTTTATGTCATATTCTTATAAATAAGGATTTTGAAACTAACATATGTTAACATATGTTTCAAAGACAATAATATAAGCTTCAAACAACATTCATAAAACATATCAATTATAAAGTTAATTGCAAAAAATACAAAGTATAACATTATTTGTTTAATTATATTTAAAAATATAAATTACATATCTGTAAATTTCTTAACTATTATTATTACTGTATCACTGTATTACTTAAGATTCTTAATTATTTAAAAAAAACAATATTGCTGATTCTTGTTATTAATATGAAAATGTTAGGAAATAATTATGACATCTGTGTAAAATGAATTTAATATAATTAGACTTGTAAATTTTGTTACACGCGAATACATTAAACCTGACAAAGGTACCTTCAAAATTTACGGATAATCGTTTTACATATCTGATAAAGATAAAAGTAAATATACATTTACTGATCATTCATCATGTCCGTGTGTTATTAAACACAGATATATTACAATAAAACTATTTATATGTCGTGATGCTGAAAATAATGAACTAATTAACACAATACTGTTACTAGATATACGGAATTTACCTTCATTGCCAAATAAACTCCACAATTTTGCAAAGAGAAGTCCCATATTGCTCAAAGTACCAAACAACTCAAATACTAATATTTTTATTTAACTTTATTTCTGTACAGTTCTAAGTCCTAGTCTCAATAAAAAAGATGTATTTAGTTACAGAAATAGGGCATCTCATTGTCGTTGGGTTATGTTCACTTTTCTATCAAATACTTTTCCAGCATGTTTCTGACAAGTTTGCGTCATTGTTTGACACACTGCAGTGTAAAAGGTGTACTTAAGGACTGTTACGAACTGCTTAAAAATTCACTAATTACACCATTAAAACGAAAGAAATATACGAAGGCTTTTCCTAATCTAATCAAGCAAATCGCGACATGTTGCGTTTCCAATTAAAATATCCATACATCTGATCAGTCCAATCATTTTTCAGCGATAACTGAAAGTGCTGTCAGTCTTGTATATGTATATGCTGATTGGAAGTAAGGAGTTTCTAGTTAAAACCCGCGTAAAACAATAATATTTTTTAAAATCGTCACTTTATATCCTGAAAGATTAGAATTATCTACTTGATTTCGCTGAATCATCTTAAACCTTTTTTCTGTTTAACCAAACGAAAGGTACTGTATAAATATACATGATGTAATCATGATATAACGCTTATACAGTTGCACAAATTTTAAATATTCATTAGTATCAGATATTACCCTTATTCTATGTGTATATGGTTGTATTAAAATATAGTATCAAACAATTATCTTTTATCTTACAATTAGTAATATAAATATTACCAGAAATATTTACACAAATGTTTCATTTAAAATAAAAATACTATATCATTCATGTGATAGAATTAAGAATTTCACTTCCATTCAGCAGATACATAATACCAATTTCAATTCCATTAAATAAAGATATAATTATTTCTTTCTTTGTTCAAGCTGTAGTATAATTTCCTTGAAATATAATGAACTCAAAAAAAAACCATAAATATGTAATATTATAATCAAATATACATAAAATATAATTTTTCTTATACGGATAACTTTTATAAAGACTTAATTTAGTTAGTATAATAGTACATTTAGTATGTATATCTTTAATGATAAAGTTATGAAATTTCTATCGTAGCATTCATGTAGTGTTGACTTCATGCTGACCTTGGTGTTCATGGGTGTTCACTGCGATTGGCTTACGAAACGTCGGCTGATGTCGAAGACTACTGGAGAATGAATGTTCATTCTTAATCTTCGCGGTAGAACCGTGCGACCACTTGTTGCTTCTTGATACTTGAAGAAGACGAATTATATTATCATTTTTCGCGTATTAACTGTTTCTCAAAATGAGTAAGCCGTAAGTAATTCTTTTTTGTTATTTTAAAGAAATTTGAAATTTAAATTCCTGCAAAGAGTAAATATTTTATCTTTTTATAGATCATTCATTACAAAACTTTCTTATTTAAACTAATTTAAAGAAATATACTTTTATGTTAATTAAAATAGTAAACAAAGCAGCAATATAAAATAAATTATAAAAAAAATTTTATATTAGAATCAATCTATAAAATATTATGTAATATTTAATATTTATGTAATAGCCTACAATGTGGTATTTTACATATCAAATATGTATATAATTGGAACATAATTTTTGATAAAATATATTTTACCTAACAGTGTTGCAGATATTGCCCTCATTGGCCTGGCTGTTATGGGGCAAAATTTAATTTTGAATATGAATGATCATGGATTTGTTGTTTGTGCTTATAATCGTACAACAGAAAAAGTTAAATCTTTCCTAGAAAATGAAGCAAAAGGTACAAAAGTCATTGGTGCATATTCTTTGAAAGAAATGGTAGAAAAATTAAAATCACCAAGAAGAGTAATGCTTTTGGTGAAAGGTAAGATAATGCTATTGATTATAAATTCTAGAACGACCTTGTAATAGAATACTATTTGTTTCGACCTCATATCATTTAAAAGTTTGTATATTATAACTGTAAGTCATTGATCTATAATAATTAATGCTGTATGAAATATAGTTTATATGGCTTTAATAAGAAAAATAAATATATATGTAAATATTTGTATATTTTAAAAGCTGGTGCCGCTGTGGATGCATTTATTGAACAATTGGTGCCTTTGTTGTCTCCTGGAGATATTATAATTGATGGTGGTAATTCTGAGTATCAGGATACTGAAAGAAGAAGTAAAGAATTAGACAAGAAAGGAATTTTATTTGTTGGTAGTGGAGTTAGTGGAGGTGAAGATGGTGCCAGATATGGACCATCTTTGATGCCAGGTGGAAATCCAAAAGCTTGGCCACATATTAAACCAATCTTCCAGGTATAAGGTTAAAATATAATTGTTTACTTAAAAATTTACCGATACGAATTTTTAAATGTTTTAGTGATAAAATATAAATTTTTTAGTCAATAGCTGCAAAGGTCAATGGAGAGCCGTGTTGTGATTGGGTCGGAGAAACAGGTGCAGGACATTTTGTAAAAATGGTGCACAATGGTATTGAATATGGTGATATGCAACTCATATGTGAAGCATATCATATCATGAGAAATGGCTTGAAACTCAGTCCAGAAGAGATGAGTAAAGCTTTTGATGAGTGGAATAAAGGAGAACTGGATTCATTCTTAACTGAAATCACTAGAGATATTCTTAAATACAAAGATGAGAAAGGTTATCTACTTGAGAGAATTAGGGATACTGCTGGTCAGAAGGGAACTGGAAAATGGACAGCTATCGCTGCATTAGACTATGGAGTACCTGTAACACTAATTGGAGAATCAGTTTTTGCTAGATGTCTTTCTGCTTTGCAAAGTGAAAGAGTAAAAGCAAGTTCCGTATTGAAAGGCCCTGATACTGTGTATCAAGGTGATAAAAAACAGTTCCTAGAGCATTTGAAGAAAGCTCTGTATGCATCCAAAATTATTTCTTATGCACAAGGATTCATGTTATTGAGGGAAGCCGCGAAAGTTCACAACTGGAATTTGAATTATGGTGGTATTGCTCTTATGTGGAGAGGAGGATGTATCATAAGAAGGTACATCTTTATTAATATTTTATTAATAAGATATGAGATTATTTAAATAATTTTTATAATACAATACTATAATTTCTTCTTTTTATTCACAGTGTTTTCTTAGGAAATATAAAAGTAGCATTCGACAAAAATCCCAAACTTTCCAATTTGTTACTAGATGATTTCTTTGCCAATGCAATGAAAGAATGTCAAGCTAGTGCTAGAATAGTGGTATCCACAGCTGTATCACTAGGCATACCAACACCTGCTTTATCAACTGCTTTAGCTTTCTATGATGGTTATAGAACTGCTCGGCTCCCAGCAAATTTACTTCAAGCTCAACGCGATTATTTTGGGGCTCACACTTATGAATTACTTGGTGAAGAAGGAAAATTTGTTCATACAAATTGGACTGGACATGGTGGAAATGTCTCTGCTTCCACATATGATGCATAAATAGTTCATACTATTTTATAATAACATAATGTATATATGATGTGAAATTGAGATTTCTATTATGGTTAATAAATGTCTATCATTTATAATGTCTAACGGTTGTGAAAAACTCAGGGGAAAGATGTTGTTCTTAAGTAAAATATAAATTTATTTAAAAAATACATTAAACGCAACTGTATATTTGACTATTAATCCCCTTTGAATGCATCAAAATGATATTTTTCTAAAAGTGTAAGAAATAATAAATGAAAAGAAACATGTAATAGATAAAAGTGTGAAAACAATAGAACAGAAAAAGAAAGTGTTCGTGTCCGGGATTTTGCTTGCGCTCAGCATGGTGCTACACCACACGACTAACTCTGGCAAAAGAGTAAAATTCCGTAAAAGACATTCAAATTAGCATATATAAGAACTCTGATATCCATGCTAGCATATACAAATACTCGTGAATTTCCATTAATATTTCTCTTTATTCGTTAGTTTATTACAAATAACTAGGAAGAACGAAAGTTTTTATTCTTCTACAATGACAGTGATTGGCTGTTCGATTTCGGCCAATCACAATCGTCGTTATCGGCGATGTACGCAGTTCTGCCTTATTAAGTACGTCATTTCCCTCCGACGCTTCGTCTTGAGTGCATGCGTTTGTAACAAAGTGAGATTAAATCGTATTAAAAGATTATATTAAATTATGTATTATATATCAGAAGTACGAAGAACAGAAGGAAAAGTTGAAGACAGGACCGGGGTCAAGGTTTCCGACATCAATTCCACATAGTTTTCAGAAATGCGTAAGTTGAAAATTTATACGCTATTTCATCAATATAAATACAAATTAAAGTAACATATTTCTCATTTATGCCGCTTTTTTGGTGATAATTTATTAAATACCATTAATATCTTACGTATTTTTCTATCTTCTTTCTTATATTTTGGTGCTTTAAAGTAAAAAAAGTAATCTTGACCTTATTTCAATATGGCGTTGATAATTTTCAACGAATATTTCAGTTCTTTTAATGTTAAAGTTTCAAAGCAATTCGAAGTTTCTACCAATACCTGTGATTGGTCATTCCATTATGGCGTCCTCCTATTTAGACCAATCAGATTCATCGTTAAAGGGTGCGTTGCGCGGAGTGTGGTGGAGTGCAACAGTCCTCTTCGAAGCTTCGTACGTTTGGCACGTGTCTGCAACAGGTAAGATTAAATTATCTTCAAATATTAAATTAAGTTGTCTTTCGGGTGTTGAAAATACAAAAACGAGAAAGAATAGCCGAAGAGGAGTCTAGCTCTTTGTTTTTTGACATTAATTCGAGGTTATCTTTAAAAATACGTGAGTTGACATTTGTTGCTCCTGCTGGGAATTCACAATGGAATTGGAAGAACAGAATCTGAATTATTTTCCTTTTATATTAGTAATTTCTTGAACATTATTCAATGTTTTTCGTATTGTTTCATATAATTTGCTGTTTTTAATTTAATAACGTTTTTTCGTGAGCATCGTAATATTATTTCTGTTTAGACCTGTTCGTGTACTTCGTTAGGTATCGGCCGGTAGCAGAATATACCGAACATTGCCGAGCGTTGCCGAAGTGCCGACCGGTCTACGATGGGAAGGAAGGTCTCGGTCTCGCCATTGCTCTCTCGAGCGTCGAACTGACAGGACGTGTTGAGAGCATCCTTCCGCATAAATAATAGGTACACATTGTATCCATTAAAATATTTTGTGTCAATTATAGTTCGATCGTTTATTAATAATAACTTTATTATTGTTGATTAAATTTTATTTACATAAATTCGTATTTCTTTTTTATTACAGATATTTGATAGATTTTGAAAGGACGCCACGACTCCTGATATGGGTTTGAAATAGAATTTCGTAAGAATTTATTGTTTTAATTTATTCTAATCAATTATTAACGTTTATTATTACTTTTTTTTTATTGAGTCATCGTTGTTAATTGTAAGCATTTTTGATAATTAATTGATACCAAGGTACCAAGAAAGAAAAGATTAGAGATATTTTTTTTTCTTTAATCAATTCATAGAAAAAGAAAAATTAATTTTTCATTTTATTAAATAGTTTCGTCTAATATTTTAATATATTTGTTTTAAATTAGAACAAAATTGAGATAATTCGTATTTTACTGCAAATGATTGCTTCTCTTCTGCAATTATAAATTATTTTAAACAATCTATTTTTGTTAAATCGTAGTAATTATATTATAATATCCAGCTTTCGATGCAAGTATAAATTAAAATAGAATCTCGTTTTTAAATCATATGCTGTTTAATCATGATTAATTATTGGATTTTGTTTAACGAAAAAAATTTTGACAATTTATAAATCACGACGTAACAGAATTTTTCACAATTTTTAGTGTGCTTACAATTTTAACAACAGAAATACACTACTTTAATAAAATTGTCTATTATATTTATTTAATTATGATTTTCTATTTATATAATATTCATTGATATAATTATCAACAATTATTTAAAACATTTCATTATTACAATATAATCTAGGATCAATATTCAACTTGAATAATATTCGTGTCTGTTGAAAATATTTCACGAACACTCATATTTTCATTTACACGTAATAACAGTATTTCATTAAAGAACGTTCAATAAGAAGGTTGGTTTTGTTTTGTATATTTCCACCCATCCCCAACCTCCTCACTAATTTTTTTTTCCAGGAATTGTTGTGGCCGCGCGCAAGGCGGTCGGTAGAGTAGTGTTTGTACGCACGTAATTCCAATGTTTTGATTTTGTCAAGGGTGAACTGGCCCTGAATAGAGTTGCGTTTGTACAATTAGGAATCACGCGAAAGTAGAGTCAGTGTTTGCTGCGTATTATAAAATATTTTCTAGAGCATCGCGGCTCTGATTGTTCTTTTTCCATCGCGGAAGTAGAGTCTACAATTGTTCGCCGGAAATTATTTACGGTCGCGTTACTAGTACTTTATATCTTTATTTTTATTTTTAATTTTTTTTTTTTATTGCTCGATATATCCGGTATTAGAGTCACAGCACCACTGAAGAGGAGTCTTGGGCGTTGCTCCATAAGGAAAGAGTGTAAGTATCTTATTACTTTAATTAATTTTAATTCAAATAGAATAATTTACAATTTCAACGTTTAATAATTGAGAGTTCCTTTTAATTGCTGTAAAATCCAAATTCATATATAATTTTATTAGAATAAAAATTGATAATTTGCAAAATTAACCGTAATTCTTTTTTGTTTTGTTACAGATGAATTTTTTTATTTTCCCGAGTTCCTGAATATCCTGATGGCATTCTTCACGACCTCCGTCTTGGGCGAAAGAACGTAAGTATCTTATCACTTTACTTAATTGCTTTTTATTAAAATAGAATAATTTACAATTTCAACACTTGATAATTGAGATTTCTTTTTAATTGCTAATATTTTCTAAAATCCAACTTTATATATAATTTTATTACAATAAGAATTGATTATTTTCAAAATTAACCGTAATTTTTCTTTTTTTGTTGCAGATGGACATCCTTGATGGCTTTCTTCACGACGTCCGTCTTCTCCTACAAGGCAGCCTCCTACCTGGTGTTTACTGTCGGAAGAAGAGTAAATCTGCGAACGGTGAGTCGCATGTTTTATGGTTCCTCTGGTGCCCAATCATGTCGTAGGACGAATGGTCCGAATCGACACGGGTTACTAGTTGTATACGTGGTTGGCGAGCATAGTGACCATGGGTATGATTATACTCATGTGTAGTAACATTTCTATTGTGTTTTATTTCATTTAGTTCAGGCTAGGTCTTCTTGCACTTCGCGTTTAAATATTATTTCTATTCCACATATTCCAATAGATATTTATGAAATATTTGAATGCTTTTAAATATTCATGATACAATTTTATAATAAAACGTGGAATATGAAATATTTTCAAATTAAGTAAATACAGAAAGAATTTTATTTAGTTTTTCTTTAACGGAGAAGTCAGATACCATCTGATTTAGTTATCATAAAGATTCAAATCGATATAATATTGGTTTTATAATATGTGTACTAGATATACATATTAATTATGCTTTTACATTGATTTAATTACATTTTGTATATTGTAAATTCAAATATAATTTGAGAATTTTTTCCGGGTAGTAAAGCTCAATTCCTTCTATAGCGAAGTTTACACGTTATTTACACGTTCATGAAAAATTGAACAATTTATGTGCAAGAAGACAATTCGTGACGGGTAGATTTCCAAGCTAGAGTGATCTATTTCAACACATTTTGCGTATTCTTGAAAATTTACTCTGAGGAGGGAGTCGCCCGAGGATGTTTTATGAATTTTCACAACAAATTCTTGTTTCATTGCAAAGAATTCTTAATTAAAGACATTAAATTATTTTTTATTAAAATTTTGCATTTCTTAAATTAGTGTTGCGAAAAATTTCCAGCGCGAGAGTAAATATGACGATGCACTGACTAGTATTCGGTGGGAATCCTTTTGGTTTTTAAACTCAATCCTATGTATTATTTAATTAATCAAATTAGTTATAAGGATTCCGCGGCATAAGACCGTGAACACCATCTCTGGGAGATATACCCATGCATTACTAGGCCTTTGCAGGCGCAGCTTTAGAATACGGAACATATGAAAATATGTTACCATATTCTAAACTGCAGTCCTTTTGTCTATACTATGGGCGTCCGTCAATCTGACACCGTTGGATGCAACGTGTTGGACGGGCGGGTAGCGCTCTTAGCGAAGGGGTGCACTCTGTCCTGGCGTTACGACGTCCAGGCGGGGTGGGTGGTATGTAGCGTCTGGCGTAAGTCTAGGGGGCGTGAGACCCTTCGTTGCCAGCTGATATTAGCAGTGCACCATCTTTGCGTCATAGTTGCTCAATGTTACTTTTCTGTATTTGTTCTTAAAGTTTTATATTTACAAAGTCGAGTCACTTTTATTAAAATAGTGAAATATTAGCCCGTTAGATGTTCATGTACTAATCATGTTTGTAGATCAGGATTTTCAGGTTTAACCCTTTCCGTGTTTATTGCCAAAGCCCATTCACGTGCCCAGGTGCTACTTGGATGGGTAGAGGCAATGGGCACGATGACCTAATTCATAAGAATAATAATTAATAAGCGGCTGGCATTGTGTTAGTATATCGTGCACGACGTAATTTCCACATATGGTGTGCGTGTTTTTAGGCTGTGGGATTGCGTCGGTGTAATAACTTTTTCATTTAACTTTTAATTTGAAATAATATTTTATTCAACAAGATGTACAATGAACATACATACCAAATAATATTATTACCATTACTATTACTATATTGCCATTACTATTACCATGATTATTACCATTATTATGAAATATTCTATATTAAAGTAGTTAATTAAATTTTGTAATTATCATTATACGCAATGATTGCTAGCCTTGCCAGACGATTTCAGTGAAAAATGGTACGTACCGTAGAGTGTGATGTGAGATGAAACTCGGGTGACGGAGGCGTTCCGGGACGTTCTCCCTAGTTTAGGCTCTTGCGCCCGGGTGGAGTGTATGGGGGTCGTGGAATGAATTTTTGTGAGAATGTGATTTTGCCTTTTTTAAATATAGTGTTAGGTAGGTAGGTAGTATACCTTCTGATGTGTGTGATAGATTGTAAGTAGGTAGGGCCGAGACAGGTTGTCACAGTCTCTTGGTCGGGTAGGCACGATTTCGCGTGATCAACCTGTACCTGGAATATATTTGAAGAATTGACGATACCATCGATACGAACGGAGTATGCCGTTCGCCTTCGATTCTATCTGTACAATTTTTCAAATTTTTGGCGACTTCATAAGTCGTCATACGCGATCGCGATGGCACGAAACGCACAAGTTCTGCTCGAGCACGGCACGTGTGCACGAACAACGACTTATATAAAGTCCTTTTTCGTCCACGTGTCAATTAGAGTTTCGCGATTTTTCTTTTTTGTTGATTGTTCTTTTTTGTTTTGCGAATTTGCAAGTCTCGAGCTTTAGATATAAGTTTCAGGTGGGTGGACCGCCCGAAGAAAGAAAAGGCTATATGCCGAAGCGCCCCGACAAACTGTCTTTCAAGAGGGGAACTACTAATGATTTTGCATCCTTTTGCAAAAAAGGATGGGAAATCATTATCGTTACTACTTTGTCACTGTGCTTGCCTGTAGTTGTAGTTTTGTAATTGCAGGAGAAGAGGGGGCCCGTGACCCCCATGATTTTGGGCAAATCGCGTTTTGAATTTAGTGTTGCGAATATTGACCACGGTTCAATTTAGTGTTGCGAATGAATATCGATCACGGTTCAATTTAATGTTGCGTATGCATGATTATCTCGATCTTCATTTAGTGTTGCAAACTTTAAATATCGCGTTTCTTTCTTGCATTGCTTTAAAATAGAATTTAACTTTTCAATGTTGATTGCTTTAAGATTCTTCAGAGTTTTGCTTTTTAATGTTCATTGCTTTAGTGTTGCGAGTAAAAGATTCATGGTTTGAGAATCCCCTTTTTTTGCATTTTAATTGCATGTCTGTTAAAGATAGCGTTGCGAATGACATTAGCGCGATTGTTTCCCAGTGTTGCGACTTATAAATACGCGATTGCTTTGCATTAATTTATAGAGTTCCCTGCTAATTGGTGTTGCGGTAATGAATATTCGCGTTTTGCATTAGAGTTGCGATATATGATGAAATGCCCAGAAACGATCCAGTGGAGTTGCTATGGTCCATAAGGCAGCTATGGACCAGCTGCCGTGATACAGCCTTGGATTGGCTGTACCCCTTTTTTAGATTAGTGTTGCGTCTTACAAAATTCGGTAGATTTGAGTAGTGTTGCGTTACAGTTCGCGTTTTCTCTTTTTTTCTTTTTTTCAGCTTAGTGTTGCGCATAATGGAGCAGCCTTCACGCGTACGCTTTTGTACATATTATATAATTAATGAAATTAGTGTTGCGAGTAAAAAATTCACGGTTTGAGAATCCCCCTTTTCTGCATTTTAATTGCATGTCTGTTAAAGGTAGTGTTGCGAATGACATTAGCGCGATTGTTTCCCAGTGATGCGATTTATAAATACGCGATTGCTTTGCATTAGTTTATAGAGTTCCCTGCTAATTAGTGTTGCGGTAATGAATATTCGCGTTTTGCATTAGAAATGCCCAAAAACGATCCAGTGGAGTTGCCATGGTCCATAAGGCAGCTATGGACCAGCTGCCGTGGTACAGCCTTGGATTGGCTGTACCCTCTTTTTAGATTAGTGTTGCGTCTTACAAAATTCGGTAGATTTGAGTAGTGTTGCGTTACAGTTCGCGTTTTCTCTTTTTTTCTTTTTTTCAGCTTAGCGTTGCGCATACCTAAGCAGCCTTCACGCGTACGCGTGAATTTGTACATATTATATAATTAATGAAATTAGTGTTGCGAATGAATTCGCGATTGTTATTAAATTTTTTACTTTTTTGCATTTATTAAATTAGTGGAAGTAACTATGACTCACATTCGGTGGGAATCCATTGCTAGTCAAGGATTCCGCGGCCTAAGACCGTGAACACCATCTCTGGGAGATATACCCATGCATTACTAGGCCTTTGCAGGCGCAGCTTTAGAGTACGGAACATATGAAAATATGTTACCATATTCAAAACTGTAGTCCTTTTGTCTATACTATGGGCGTCCGCAAATCTGACACCGTTGGATGCAACGTGTTGGACGGGCGGGTAGCGCTCTTAGCGAAGGGGTGCACTCTGTCCTGGCGTTACGACGTCCAGGCGGGGTGGGTGGTATGTAGCGTCTGGCGTAAGTCTAGGGGGCGTGAGACCCTTCGTTGCCAGCCGATGTTTTGTCATAGTTCAGAATGTTTGCAATTTTTAAATTAGTGTTGCGTGTGATTTCGGTTTGTTTATAGGGTTTGCTTAGGGATTGCTCTTATGGGCAGTCAAACTTTTCTTTTCAGGTTCCCCTGTACCCCCCATCCCACTGCCATGCCCCCATTCTTTTTTCTTCCCATTTTTTAATTTTGAAAATTCTTAGCATTCGGTTATTGGAAATACTGTTAAATAATATATGAATTTAATGTTTTCAGAATATTATTAAATACGATAAAGTTTTAAATAGGACTTTATTCAAAGTTTTATTTAAAATGAAAGTTCATTTTATTTTGTGATGATTGGTGATAAATTATTTCAAGGAATATTTGTTCATTCGAAATAGCTTATTAAATTTTAATACTACTTTATTTAAACAAAAGTAGTGGATAATTGTTGATCGAGTTGTTTAGTTTTAATTTTTGATCGCGATGTTTTGTTTCAAGCTTACGGAGAAGCTAATTAAATTACTTTTATAAATTTTCAAATTCTTTTCCTGAAAAACAAAGTCCACTCGTGATTTTTTTTTCAGTTTTTCCATTTACAATAAATTTGCATTGAAAGGTGTATTGAATAATATAATGCAATAAAGTCGAGTAGAGTCGTGGTTGTACGTACTATATATTGCAGTAAAAGGCAGTTGTTTCAATTAAAATATTGTGTGCTATTTGTCGCGTAATGAACGAATATTAAATACAATAAAATGAAATAATTAATGTTTTTAACTCAAATCACTTAACTCAAATATATATTTTTCTGAAGTTTTTTCTCTTTATTTTGGTACTGAAGTTTGCTTTAAATTTATATTTCGTATCAAATTGATTTTAAATTATTAACAACCACTCTGACTTTTATAAAATTTTATTGTTACTAATGTATCTTCATTCCAGCTATTAATTTTTCTTTGTCTTTATCTGAATTCAATTAATCAGTTTCTGTTACAGAGTAACAGAAATATCTTTATAGGAAGTATGAAATAATATCGGATAATCGACTGGAAGAAATGTAATATAAAATCTAGCGTCCATAAACGGAATTCAATGTATCCAATTAAGTAAACCAAGGTGAAAATGATTGAAAAGGAAAAATGATTCTTATAAGTGGTAATATTTGAACCGTACTATTTTCGAAAATTGTATTTAATTCTTTTCTGTTTGTTTTAGGCAGGTTGTAAATTTATGATTAAGGCCACACGAGCCTTATTATTTTCTTAAATTATGTTTAATCCTTTTCAGTTTTATTTTAGGAAGTATTCTGGTAAGGACAACAAAATCAACAAATTCATTGGACTTATTTATGTATATAGTCATTAAGATATAATCGTCAAACACTACAGTGTTTAATTAGGAAGCGTTAGATTTAAGCGAATTTTTAATATAATTACGAGCGCTCGTATAGGTAGATATGCTTAGTAGTATAAGTATGTAGGACAAATATGCAATTGCATATTTATTAATTACAGATCTGTAATCAAAATCAAAATTAAAAAATGTTGCGATAGGAATAAATAGCAAAAATCTACGTAAATATATGTATAAATAAGTAGATAGGTAGGTAGTGAATAAAAATAATGCTCCTTGTGTTGTTCGTTTGCACAACAGTCAAAAACGTTTTGCAAATGTGCATCAAGAGGATGATGGTATTGAATAAAAATAAAAATTTGCATAAATGGAGGGTGGATGGGATGAGGTAGGGCGGGTCTCCACCCGCAGCAACCTCCCCGTGGTGAGACCTGGGCAATCGTTATTATTTGATGACTAATTAATAACTGTATCATTATTTCTATGGTATATTTATTAATTATGCAGCAAATAATACGAGCGAATTGGCTGCGAAAATGCTTTTTTTCTATTTAATCGCTGTTATATTTTTTTCAGGAACTATGTCTTTAAGATTCTGAAGTGTACCACATTGCAAATACGTACAATTTTACGGAAAAAAATTAATAATAATGAATGCATGGTCAGTATTGTTTAATTATGTACTTATACATATAGCTACCGTAGCATACATACACGTGTCCTTTAGGTGTATGCGAAAGGTGATGTAGTATAGCATGCCGTTAATTGGATGCAATAACTGAGGTGGCGCTTGAATCAGTTTCTAATCAAACATAGGCTGTTTTACCGACGCGGAATTCGGAGTTCGGCCTCGACGCTTGCATCGCCTTAAAATTGAAAAATGCATATAAATAGATTCTCTCTGTATTAAAATCATTAAGTTTATTTCAAGTAAGATATAAGTATTTTGTATTATTCCAATAGTGTAAAGAAAAGCGATGAAGTTATTATGATCTGTTTTATAAGTAAATAATTAATATTCAACGTAGAAGTTTCTTTTCTTGTTGCGTTATGTAAATGAATTCTGTAAAAATATTGAAGAGAAATTGAAATTGTATTCTTAGCATTGAGAAATTGATATCATAGAACCTCTTTTAGCCGTCCCTGAAGCGCATAAGCTTCACAGACCATAGACGGGTGATATAGTCTTGTATAGTCTGCAGCGTTCATTTGCAAAATGGCTGACCATAGGGAAAGGGATTCATATTATTCGCAAACGGATTTACGATCTAAAAATGATGATCCACCAAACTCACGTTTATTTGTTATATGCCACAAAAGCTTGGAGGAAGATGATCTCAGGAAAGCGTTTGAAAAATTTGGAAAAATTGAAGATATTTGGGTGGTTAAAGACCGGAGTACAGGTGAAAATAAAGGTAATTTCTCTCATCCACAGAATAAATCAACACGGTTTTATTTAATTTTTTAATGTTTTTTATATGGTCGAAAGTTTGTCTAGTCTTGTTTTTGCGTATAATGATTATTCATCATGTACATAATTTAAATATTGTAAGAGTAATGAGTGTTGTTTATACAGGTGTTACATATATTAAATTTTCTAAAACATCAGAGGCAGCCTTTGCTCTTGAAGAAATGAATGGAAAAATGTTAGGATCCGTAGGAAGACCTATCAAAGTAATGATTGCTTCAAAGTAAGATTTTAAATATTGTAGAAGAATATGTTTCCAAAGATTTATTCTATTGTTGTAACATGTATACATATATGTATGCTACAAACATATAAATGCAGACATTTATTTCAGCCGTGATCAAGGTTCTGTAAGGGAAACAAATGAAGAGGAAAGATGGGTTCGTCTTTTTTGTGTGTTACCTAAATCAATGACTGATAATGAACTTCAGCAAGAATTTTCAAAATTTGGACCTATTGAATATGCAACTGTGGTCAAAGATCGGAATACAAATGAATCAAAAGGTTTTGGGTATGTAAAGTTTAAAAAAGTATCTAGTGCAGCAAGAGCATTTGAAGAATGTGACAGGAAGTACAAGGCTGTATTTGCTGAACCTAAAAAACCTAAGCCAGAGCACATTGATGTAAAATACAATAATGGACTATCCTCTCATTACGATGGTGCAAGTGGAGGTTATAGTTCATCAAATTTTGGAAAAAGCAGTATTAGTTTAGAAATTGCTACAAATTATCCTAATTCTGAAGGTTATACGCATTTACAAGTAATTGCACATCCAGCATTAAATCAAGATCAGTTATGGAAATTGTTTGATATTGTACCTGGTTTGGATTATTGCCATTTAAAAAATGATGTAAGATATAGGATGCCAAGAGGTCAAGCTGTTGTAGTGTATTCTAATCCTAGTGCAGCAGCATATGCAAGAGAAAAATTTCATGGTTTTGAATATCCTCCTGGACATAGAATGATAGTTAAACCAGATTTATCAAATGTTCCACCAAAAAATGCAATAAAAGCTGGGAGCTCAGCAGGTGGAATTGCCAGTGCTAGGACAGATCTAGCACATCTAGCAGAAACAATTGCTCAAGCTACATCTTTAATTCAAGCTGCAGGACTAACTGCACCAAGTGAGAAATTATTTTATCTGTACAATATAATAAGTACTTTTGTTACATAATTGTATTTTTACGTAATTAGGTTTAGAACATTCAATGTGTGTTAAATTACCGCCTGTGCAACCAATGGCAAGTATAGATGCAGAAGTTGCAAAAAGGTGTTTCATTGTATGTGGACCTCCAGTACCTCCTATATATGCTATGAAGGATGCTTTCTGCAGATTTGGAAATCTCATAGATGTTTATATGCTCCCGGGGAAAAATTGTGGTTACGCAAAGTATGCTAGTGTACAAAGTGCAAATGAAGCAATCGAGGTATGTTTTGCCCCGCTTTATGATAGAATTTAATTTATTTTCTTGTTTAGTTGTATTCTCTTAATAAAATTGATCAATTGAAAAAGTACAATCGTGGTGTGTAGCTAAATTAGAAATTGGTAACACATTTTATAGGTTTTGCATGGGCAAGAAATTTGTGGATCTCGACTGAAAGTACTAGAAGCAGAAGAGCGCAACGTTGGCGAAGATCGCAGAAAACGATTAAGAATGGATGAAGATGAAAATTAACTTTTTTTCGTATACCTCGTAAGTAAATCGCTGAGCACATGGCAAACAGAAAAAAGAGAGGAGGGAAAAAGAGAGGAATTTAAATATTAACACCCTGACGTGTAACTGACGATTACCTTACTTAGAAAAACAGGAGAAAATATAATTTTTCTATTTGTCTTCACAGACTGACTGGTATACACAAGCTGGACGCACGCAATAAAAGAGACGAATTTTAAGACTCACTTGACCACGTCGGGCCCGCATCCAAGGAAACTACTCCAACTACCTACTTTTAACTATCGCTTACGTTCGCGATTTCAACGTTACTGAAACTTTAACGATACTTTACTTTATCCTTACATGTCGTTACACACACACACCTGACTTTTTGGTTTTATTATTTTAAGAGGCCTGTGCGAAAAGTGATCTTAAACATTCAATTTTAAGGTTATGTAAAGCACACAAAATTAGTTAAATTTAAAACTTCTTCCTTTAGCGTAAGGGAGTTGTACGATGCAATATACTTGAGGCGTTTATTTATGGTAATATACTACAAGTATTAGTCAAAGGTAAGAGTATTTCTCTATGCATATACTTTTGTATTAAAACCGCGTGGGGGTGAAAGCTTTTTTAGACAAATTTCAAAAAAAAAAGAAAACGAATGAATTCTCTGTAGTTTAATAATTAAGAGAAATGAAAAAGATCATTTCACGATATTTTATATTCTTGTTTATAAAACAAGACTTACGTTATCAATTTTAACTATTCGCGCAGGCTTTATAACAGGCTTTAAAACCTGTGCCTTATAGTTAGTAAAACAAATTTTTGTTTATAATCTATATTCGATAGTTCTGTACTATTCTTTTATTAGCTATACTCTGTATGAAAGAAAACGTAAATTAATTTATTTCTTGTATGTTTCAAGAAATATTTTCATGGTGACGAATTCATGATAATAATATATTTTACAGAACTAAAATTCCAAAACAAGATATATTCTGCAAAACGGTACTTTGTTCTTATAGTACTTTAACGGTATGGTTTTATATATTAATAATATCGGGAGAAATTATATTTTTATAAAGGTGAATGTGGTGAAATTTATTTCGCCAGTCTTAAACTTGATATTGCAAAATATATTTGTTGGATTGTAAATAGTAATTTTTATTTTAGTAACAGTTTTGGACGAGTTCTAACAGTTAATAAAATTTTGCTATTATATTAAATTAAATGGTTATTAAAAGGAAGTTAAATTACTTCAAATAAATAGATAATTATGGATATTAATAAAATAAGAAAATTGCTAAAGTTTCCAATGAGATTCGGATACATCTTGTTTTGGAAATAATTTAACATCGCATATGTTTACGTGTATAGATATATTTGCATAAAATATATCAACATATTATTTTCTATGATTAGACCGAATTTCGTTAAGCGAAATACGTTTTCTTAGGCAGCTAATATGTCTATAATTACAATTCGTCAAATACCAGTTATTGACGCACAACATGAACCTTTTATGGACACTTTTGTACATGTGTTAGACTGTTTTACTCAATGACCATACGAAATGATGTTTTAGGAGACTGTAACTGACTTGTTTGATGATATTAAATACACATTAAGTATTCAAAACCTTACACTGATTTCCACTTATTTTTTTTTTTTTTTGTTACACTTAACAGAATGTCCTGATTTACATGTGTATAATTTACTCTCTTGACATGTTTTTTCTTTTCACTTTCAGGATACCTCATGGATTCAAAGATGTGTACCTGATGACTGTGATATTATAGCAAAGTAAGATATTATTGGTATTGTACATATAAGGCATAAAGAATAAATTATATTTTTTTATATAGTTGCTCCTTTTTATTACTAGGCTAAAATTGTTATACATAAATAGAAAATGATTGTATTTATAAGTCTTTATACATTTAATTTATGTATATTATTCTTTCATGAGATACATGATATGTGTAATTTACTATTTTTGGAACCTCTTTCATGCTTTGATACAGTGTGTAATAAAAAGCTTTTTACATAAAAATGTTACATCATGTTATAGTTATTGCTAAACTATTTCTGAATGTAATAATACATATATTGCATTAGCTTTGAATGGGTGGATCTACCAAAGAAGCTACCGGCAGGTGTCGCAACCGTACACAAGGTAGAATTTTCGCGCCAGTAGACTTTACGCTGGCACAAGAGTGCAAAGTTACGTGGAAAATACTATTTTAATCACGTTCATCGTTCAAGAGGTTTAAGTGGGGCACGTTTTGCATCGATATAGGTTAACAACGAAATAGAGGGGATAGCAACTCACGTGTTACCAAACGTGCTGCGTGATGCGGAACAGTCGCTCTGCGTGAGGGATATACGATGTTTGGTGAGGTTTTAGTCTTTACAGATATCGCCATCAGAAACGTACTGTTGTGAAACTACCAGGGAATTTAGTGAAAACAATTATTTCATAATTAATTTACTGATTTCTTCTAATCTCTCTGGTGGTGCGTTACTTTTTAACTTAATTATTCATTGTGAATGCGATACATTTAAAAGAAACTTTTGTGTCCTTGTTCTGTGCTAGAGCGGACAACTTGTCTTTAAGTTTCATTTTCATCGATTACAATCATTTTAATTAGCTAGGAAATAGAAAAATAATGCGTGAACGTCAAGTATATTTGATTTAACAGCAGTGTTGTGACATAACGGATATCGTTTTAAGCGCTAAATTCGAGAAGAGAACTATGGAAGAAGTGTCCACTGAGAATGCTAAGGTGTCAGATTCCGGATATTCTAATACCTGCAGCAACAGTCAATCACAAAGAAGGTATATATTCAATTTATTTCAATTATTTATCGCGTATCACTGGAGGTACAGTGAACTCGTTCCACTCTGCGATTATCAGTTTGAAAATAGCGCCATTGATTTCAAATTTCGAACTCAATTCAACGTTTATCTCGATCGATGGACGCATTTTATTTTCATATAACACCATGATCTAATGGTTTACCCAAGAATATTGATTGGAGAAAGTAGAACTTTCTCTTACTTTTCCTTGGTTTTTAATTTCAAAATAATGTCAGTTCTTGTTGTAACGTAATTTTTGCTATCTAATTTTAGCTTGTTGAATACTAATTGCTTATATCAATTTCTTTGTAACTTACAACGTATGTGGTCGTCGCTTTGTCAATTAGCATCGGACGCACCCGGTGTGTCATCCCTTGTATTAGATAAACAGTATAAGACGCGACGGGTGTGTCATTGATCTTGAGTGTTAATATCTTATTATAAAAACTGAAAACAGCATGTGCTGTAAAATTTTCACCCTTACAATTTTATAATTCCATCTATGTATATCGATGCGCCAGTAATTGTATCGTAAATGGCTTCACTAATGTTTACGTAATTTATTCCGCACAGGATATATGCATTTATAGAAGATAGAAAGTATACATACATACGAAAGAAAAAATGGATCGTACGATGCAAACATCGTTAACGTTAACACAATGTAATAGATAGAGGGAGGAAAATATGCAAGCTGAGAAGTATTCATTAATGTGTTCTTATTGAATTATGTATATGGCCTCGAACTGCATCGGTATGCTAATGTTTAATGGACGTTTATGTTAGGTCATAATGAACGCTTTTGTAGTCGGCGGGACCAACAAAATTGTGCAGATCCTAATTGAATCACTACTTTAATCTGCGAAATAAACGTAGACAAATCCCGCGCTGATTAAGATGCATCTTTTTACTGTTTCTTGATCTTTCGGTTTTGCTGTCGGTTAAACATTCTCGTACATAAATATCAGGAGTTAATTGGACAAATTTAATTAAACGCTTTCGAAATTTGTATGCGTTGATGGACGATAAATCAGAAGTTTTGCAAGTTTTTAATCGAAACCTTACGAGAGCCATAAGAAAGTTTCGTAATGATTTGCATCTGCAAACTCGAAGAAGCCCACTGACCGCTGTTTGAACATTTATCTTCTTTCTGGAGATAACGAAATCAAAGAGGATGGATAGAAATTCTTTCATATACAATGAGCTTAGGGAGAAAAAGGATAGACTGTTGCCTAAAGGGTGTGTATTCTCCTTTAAAGAGTGGCGAACGAGAGAATCGATCGATCTGATTATTAGACCAGAGTTTGAACCTTGATCTTTTAAATAATTGCAAGACGATTGTTTCGATCAATCGTGTTATTAACACGTTGAATATCGTAGGGGTCATCGGTGATGAGTAATATGAGTTTAATGTAGTTGAATAACTTAAAGAAAAAAACGTGTTTTTGAATTTCAATATTAACCCTTTTGCTATTAAGTAGTATAAGCAACTATACTCCTTCAACGCAAAGCGTTTATCTATGCTAAATCTTGGAATGACACATTATTTGATATACGTTCGAATGTTGAGTTAGATAAGTTACCATTCAAACGCAGGGGAACAGCTTTCGACAGGGTAAACATAGCAAAAGGGTTAATATTGTATTTCTTACGAAAGCTATCAAAAGGAAGCTTAAATTGGCAGACGGAACGATTATATACGGCTGTTTCCATTGCGCATGTAACGTGCTATTAAGAATTATTAATCCTTTTTATTTAAATAAAATTTTACCGAATTGGTACATTTTTCATTTGTGGGCAAAGGTTAACTTTTTAATTTAGATTTTAACAAATTTTGCTGTGTTAATTGTCTTCCAAAATTAAAGACAAGCTTCAATTTTCAAATATTTTTTTTTTATGATAACTGTGTAGATGCTATTACATCTATGGGGATGATGATAATTATCCCGAAATTCCCAGAACGACAGGATACCTAGCATCTGTTAGGTGGTACATTCGTGCAGGATACTTGGCATTGACACGCTTTGTTAGATGATGTAGACGAGAGGTAGAAGGAAAGCTACGACTAACGAGAAAGACAGAAACTCGAACACTACGGTTAAGGCTAACTAGTTTCTTAACGAAGTATGCCGTTCCGTTGCATTTCCACGTTCGCATTTGATACACCTATGCTGGCGGGTTGTGAAACCCCTTCGAAAAGAGGTCAGATGAATGTAAGGCGTTTATGAGATCATCGATTACCAGGTTATCAAAAGCAATTAGTCACCTGTTTTGCTAACCAGAAAAATCGAAAAAAAAAAAAAAAAAAAAAGAAATACATATCTATCATTTAAAGTACCAAAATTTATATTAAGTTTTGAATTTGTTTAACTATGAAAATAGAACAGATATTGAATAGCGCTTACGTTAGATAATTTTAAGTAATGAACCAGTATTACTTTTTTTAAATGATATCTCTTTTTGGTACACTGTTGAATGTTACAGAGATTTCAAAAGTATCTTGAAAACAATCGAAGTTACGTTAGGATGTTTAATTCAAGCCTTCGATAGTAAGTCCATTGTTACAAAGCATTCTGTTTGCAGTTCTGATTCAAATTCATCTTGAAATTCTCATTCACCCGTGATTCATTGTGTGCGACATATTTCGAGCCTCGTTGTCTTAATTAACATCGCCGATGTAACAGATATTGACAATTGTCTATAATTACAAAGGATATTGTAAGCGATTTGACTGGAATCTATCCGGTTAATTGTATGAATTCTAAAGGTTCGTTTATATTCACAAATATATTAGTAGAGTCGGTGGGATCAGAAAATTGACTGATATATTCATCTCTACTCTTTTTTATATTATCGAAAATGTGGGGATTGTTAGACTGAGTTAGACTAATTTGTTAGAACAAAAATTACTATGAAAATTTCGTATCCGGAATGTTCAATATCTGCAGGTATGAACGGACCTTTAATTCTCACGTGTTGCGCATCAAACGCTCTACCAACAGTAAAACGTGTTAATATCTCGCTGGAAAAAGCCATGCGTTACACCATGTGTTGATTAAACATGTTTCTTCCTCTTTATCATATTAGTTGCATAATAGAATAAATTAGATCTATTAATTTTATCATCTATTACTTCTATGTATGTAATGGAAATTTCTAATACTTTCATAATAGTAATTTTATCTAGAGGTTGCTTGGTTGCAATTATAGTGTACCATACTATACACAGTCATTATCATTGTAGCATTCAAAGTATTAACCATATTTTCTAATTTGTTAATGAAACATGAAATGACGTTTCCTTGGCATCATTTCAGGCTGAGCCCTGAATAGAATCAATAGCTGTATCACGGCCCGTTCGACGTTTACAGTCACGGGGCTGCGAACGTGAAACAGGCCTTCTTATGCAATAATTTTTGCTACTAAACGAGATACAATAAATGTAGGGGCCCCGTACTCGTTCCCTGGCAAATAATGAGGACAGTGAAAGGCCACAACGACTCTGTCGTAAGGACCTATCTTGCATTGGTCACGTTTGCCGAACATGTGATCGATCCTTTTTTCCTCCTTTTCTATGCCGTGCTTTCAACAGATTTTTGGGTCAGCAATTTGCGTGACTTTCTTGACTACGATTTAATCGGCCAATAGGCCGAGGACGTGCATACCGGCCGTTTGAGAAATGCACCATTGCTTCTAGAGTCCACTATGCGCCGGCTTCCAGTGGAGCGTACAAACTCGAAGGATGTAGTTTCTATGGCGCGTACACCGAGAATGCACACGATTTCGCACTTAACAAACAAGTTCTTCAGTTTGCTTAAATGGTAGGTTCTCGATCGGATGTGGTGTTACAAAATTAACTTGCTACCTGAGACGAAAGTTATTTCTCTTGCAAACGAGGAGTTCACTCGTGAGGATTTCTCTTATCTTTAAAAATAAAAAGGAAGTTTCCAAAATTTTCCAGTGTAAGGGTCACACGTGTTTAGTTACGTGTTAAATCTCTAAAACGTTGTTTATTGCGAGTCACAAATGCCAGTTTTGAAATTTCCCAGTTTCTCATTGTATCCGTTGTTACGAGTACTCTGTTGAGGGGAAGAAAGAACACGTGTTTCTGAAAAGTTATTTTTAGAAACGGTGTAACCCCGTGTTTTCTCAGGGTTGAACATTTCGTTTCCGCTAGAATTGCCATGGTCGATTTCAAAGTCATTCAGTAGTATTAGACCACCAAGGTCAGACACGTCGAAGAAGCACTTTCAATAGTTTGGGCAATGGATCAGACATTGCATAATCTATTTCATCGATACTTTTCATATCACTAAACTTAACAATTAGGGGTCGTATCGGATTATTATCGAAGCAACTCAACATCAGTAGGGAGAACGAATAGGATATTCCCCTTACACCCTAAAACTACCCTTATGCTAACAGACTTTCGTCTGAGTGTCAGACGATATAGTGTTAAGTAACCTCCAGACAAACGCCACAATGATTAATGAATAATTAATGATATTTGGTGAATTATGTTTCAGCAGTGGCAGTTCAATTTCCAGAAACAGCAACCACTCCGAAAGTAGCGGTTATTGTGGTAAACGTCCCACGACATTTAAATCCAGGTAACACACCGTTCAAATTATACTTTTTATAAAGGATCATTTTAAAAAGGACAAAATACGTACGATCGTAGCAATCGCGATGGCGGTCTATTCCTGCATGCAAATTTTTATGATCGATGTTCTTAAATATAAAAGGTATTATAATACATTGTCGGTGTGTGAGCGTGTTTATGATCGTAAGGATCTCAAGAATACGCTTCGAAAATAAGATTAACTTTACTTAAGATTTCGACTGTAGAAAATAAGAGTAAGGAATTCAGTGGAAAGTTATTTTCTTCCTTAGCGTTCCGTGGAGAACAACTTGGAAAATGTGTCCCTTCTTGTTCTTGTTGTTATCTCAGTTATATTAATTATGGTCTTGTAATATTAGATTATTATATTGTTCGTCGAGAAATTATGTGTAGGAAAAAGCTTTTCTGTACACGAATTTCAATGTATCGTATAGCACGTGGCCATGTTGTTCTTTTAGCACCTGATATTAAAAAAAAGAAATGATAAAACGATTAGTCAGCTATTAACGAACGTATTATATTTCCGGTATTGAAGATAACAATTTAAGATAAATTTACAGTATATGCATAGTTGTTGTTATCAATAAATCTGAATGGACATTGCATGTCAACGTGAGTTGTCTAAACAAAATTTTCTATAAAAAAAAATGTATGCAATATTTTCCATTAATGCAACCAAATCTTCATATCGTGAAATGAATAATTTCTATTCATTTTTCTGTTCACCTTTTATTCCTTTCTCTTTTTTTGGATCAAACATCTACGTAATGAGACACAATGAAATTTATCGTCGCTTTTTTTATTCTCGGCTACAATGTATTCAATCGACAGGTACGTACGTTCGTTCCATAATTATCATGGTTGCGAAGGTGACACAGCACGCATACGGTCTCGTTGACGTGGATTTTTAGCATCGTGTTCGTGCACATACGTGCAAAGAACGATTGCACTCATTGTCAGTTACGAGAAAGCACACACAAACTCTGGCACTTGCAGCTGTAAACATTGGTACATGTGCAGTGCCACGTGCCTGTAATGTCACTACATCGCCGCCTACGCCGCATATCTCCGCGTATTGTTGCATAATCAGGATAGTCTGTGCCGTACTAATAGTAAATCATCATTGAGTTCAAGAATTGGAATCAAATATTTCCAAAATGAATCTTATCTAAAATTGGTCAAAGAAAATGATTCATAGCAGAAAAACGAACACCACTGCTTGTACTCATTCGCATAGATAACTAATAGATAAGGGTCAGGATGGCTCTCCATCAATAACTATTTGAATAAACAAAAAAAAACATTCGCTAATTTATAAAATGCATCCAAATGCATTGAGTTTTGGTAATGATAGAGAACCTAACCCACCTCAAAGAAATTCTAATTATGCTAACGTATTATTCGAAGTATTTGTCAATTAGAATTCTGCTGATGCACTTATGCACGTTTCAAACCACACTACGTCAACGATCCGTAGTAACCATAGGAACTTTACCGGGGACTCCTCGGTGACTAATAAAGGTCAAGGTTGCAAGAATGATTGTACATTTTCCCAATGTCAGTTCGAATTCACGTTGAGATTAATTAAAATAAAAATACTTCCTTTGCTCCGTTCTTCAGAGTGCAAATGAATAATTAGTAGGAAGTAGCATTTGTGGACTTAAGAAATGCCTAATCGATCTGCATACCGTATGAACGAAAATAGACAATAGAGATATTAGTAATTATGATTAATATTGGCAGGGTTATTTCCTGGAATGGCTTTTCATAAAAGGAACAATAGAGAATGAATCATAATACACATAGGGACTGTAAATTATTTATATACTACTGGTTATATGTGAAACGATAGAAATTATCGAGTCAGCGTGCGTCATTTAATATGAAAGTAGTTTATTAAGGGGCACGTAATAATTAGTCTTAATTTATTCTGACGATATAATAAAAAAGGGTGTAATCTTGCAAAAACTTTTCTATTAAAGATTTCAATCTACTAAACATAGAAAGAATAGGAGAAAGTCAGTCTTCTCTTTTTACAATTTTAACATCAATGATGATAATATGTAAATTTATAGCATATATATATTTTTAAATAGGGTAGATATAAATGGTATGAAGCAGATACCTGAGAACATGTTCCTGTTACACGTTTGATAAGTTTAAACTTTAGTAGTGAACCCGGTAATGCACATGTGAAGTAATCGTTATCTTGGAGAAAGCTTAGAAGGTATATTCTTAGAGAAATGCACTTTCTCTATCTTATATAACGAATGCAGTCACGATTAGACCCGAAGCGTTTGTTACGTATAGTATTTTTTTATTGTCAATGCTCTTCCTGGAGAAAGTTGTCTGAAATGATTCTAGATCTGTCTCAGCTTTATTCTCTATCTGTGTCGATTAACAATACCGAGTGTTTTAATACTCTCGTTACAATTGTTTTAAAATACTGCTTTCTATTGAATCAAGTTTTAAAGTAGCAAATTAATCTGCGGCTCATGTTCGCATGCACGTCCATTGCATTTCTTGTTTGTTAACTCAGCGAAAGCGATATTTATTTTTAGCATAGTTGATATCCTACTCTTCGAAAGTGTACAAGGTGTACGGACGTTTCCGTTAGCATGTTATCGCGACGAATGTGAAAGAACTGATACGTCCTGTTTACGGTTATTTAAGGCTACCATGATAAGACTTTGTTACAAAAGAAAAAGAAAACCAAGTAAATGTTATGATAAGACCACTGAAATATTGAAGAGTCCTATGAAATGTCTGCTGGAAATACTGTACTTACTCTGCTACAAGTCTGTCACGATCGGGGTTACATAATTAACATTACATCTTACAGCAAACCAGTATTAGTATAATCGAAACGTAGGCTGAAAAATTTAGTTTACTTCATAGATCGCGATTGCTTTATTTGTAAAGTGAAAGGTCATCAATATCTAACAATGAGAGAATATCCTCGATGACTGAGCTTACAAGGAAGGTACTCCAGGTATTCAGCGTCGATTTTAATAATATTGTAAAGAACTAAAGTAGATAAGATTTCTTGGATCTGCTGCAATATATTAAAATATTATTCAAATTAGCACCAGATACCTGGAATATTTTCCTTGTTAGAGAGGTATTCTTAATCATTCTTCAAAACCACGACCTTTTATTTACTAAATTTTGGATCTGTCCGTTAGAATAAGGATCAGAAGTATTTCGCACGTTGTAAATACATGTAATGTCTATATGAACGTAGCAATGAAGCCCTACCGCAGCCAATCAGCAAAAGAAAGGATAAAGAACACAAGAAGAAGAAGTCGAAGGCAATTTTGGCTGTTAATGCTGAGGCAGATATTGTGAAAAGTGCCGGCACACCGGCGGAAATCGCGTCTTATAATGTCGCCGTCCCAACGAAACCTGTACTCGAAAAGAAACCAGGTTGGTTGTGATCTACGATCGACGGGAAGATGTGCACGTTAATTGGATAGTATCTAAAATTCGTTGAAATAGCATTCTAGACAAGGTGCAGCCATCGGTTGCACAATCGGTATAATAAGAGAAGAACGAATATCAGATTTGATCCCCGTCTGACCGATCGTATACTTGTACTACTGATTCCGCTGATCTAACAGAATACCATTAAACCGTGAACTTTCACGCTCGAACGAGATACAGAAAAAGTTGTAACAATGATTCAACGCGGAATTACATGATTCTGAAAGTGATTTTTCCCGGGTAATTAACAGGATTGATAGTTTTATATAATTTGATTTCGTTCACTCTTCCCGTCAGTTAGGTTTCGCTTACTATACAACCAAAGAGTTCAAACGATCATTATCCCTCCCCAGCTTCATGGTTCCCTTAGTCCGTTAGACCGTCGGCTTAAAATGATCAAATATCGCCTAATATTGTTGAAAGAGATGTCGAGTAAAGTACGGTTTGTCGAATCGCTTTTCACGGTTAGTTGTCTCGAAGATTTTCGTGGAAAAGCAGCATTCAAATTAAATATTCAAGCAGTGGAGTAATGATTACTATTATCCTGGCAATTAATCTCAGCTCTGGCCACCCCTAACAAAACGTTACGGAAGGATCCGTTTTTAACTTAGTTACGTAGTTTAACATTGATCCTTTTCTCGTCTTAGCAACCTTACGTCACTAACTGTTCATTGCATAATAAATACTTACAATTAACTTCAATGTAAGTACGTTCATAACATGTCTGCTATTAAAAGACACACATGTAATTGTATGATTTATAGTTTATAATTGAATAGTAATCGCCGATTACTATTATGTATACCGTTTCTGAGGAGCAATACATAGGGTACCTCAAGGACTTTAAATTCTTAATAATAATATTTCGTTTATGATTTCATTTACAAGATACGAATTCAAGGATTTAAAATCCTTTATTATCTTAGAAAATAACATTTGTAAAATATTTGACACGCTATAACTGATCTCCCCTTCTATGGAATTTACGTAATGAGCACCGTGCTATTTTATAGACAGAAGAAATACTCCGAGCTTTCGCTTGGTCCATCTACAGTATCGCTGAGACTGAATCGTACTTTATATAACATCGCGAAGCGTTTATGATTGACGTAATTATTTACATAATTTTTAATAATCTATTTTGAATAACCGATTCTGACGTAACGTAGGCTTTTTTTCGTCAGTCGTTACGAGCTTGGTCCTGATATGCTCAGTAAGAGCTAGCAACGTGCCCTACAATGGGCACGTTTAAACGCAAGAATAGATTCGTTATGTAATTACGATGCACGTTTTCTAATTTGTTGCACGAAGAGTAACCACCGATTAATTATGAAATCTTTGGCTGGTGAATTTGCTGGTGTGACATTCATTTACGTCCATTTAACAATCGTCCAGGTAACGACGAAACAGCGAATAAATTAAAAAACGAGAGTAGAGAAGTAAAAATTGCCTTGGTACCAGCTATGTGTTATTCGATAACGTATCCATAGAACTCTAGGCTGAGATTCCCTTTTTTTAAATTTTTATTTGAAGGATAACCTTGAGCTGATAATTCATTACTCCCTTATGTAACTCAAAATGTTCTCGCGATATTGTCGTCTCGTTGGACTAAGGAAACACCATAATTCCCAATCCTTCAGCAGTCCATTACCCACGCAGCTTGTTACGTTTTATGTGTTTATTTGGACGCGCCGTTTCCTTGATTCAAGTTGGAAACATCGAAGTCACGTTTTCTAGGAAGTCCGCTCAATCCTGTGTACGTAATTTCATTTATTAATAACGAACAACAGAGACGAATCAATTGTAACCCAGACCTCATAAAGGCGTTTTATAAATGGTCTAAAATTTGAAAACTGAAAATGAACATACAATAGAGTTGAAAAATTGAATTGAAATTATTTAAGTAGCCAGCGCATATCGTTAAAAACATCGAGTGTTTAAAGGAATTTTTAAAATCTAATTTGATAGTTTTTCGAATTAAAATCAAACGCGTTAAAAAAAATGAATATGGGACGTCCATGAAACGTTTCGAAAAACGTGACCATGCTTCTTGGGTATGAACGTCAATGTTCCCATTAGCAAACATAGACAAGTGTGTCCAAGAAAGATCACAATATAACGACGAGAATTTTTGTTGGATTCATACAAGAAGAAATAGCCACTGTAGAATTGGTGGATGCAACGGATCCCGGCGAGCACAACGGCGATACCGTCACAGATGCAGGACTTGCTTCGCGTACGAATCCTCTGGATGATTCCACCTCTCAAGCCAATGTTAGTATTCATTACAAAAACCAACAGGAAAATAGATTTCTCTTAACTAGTAACTGTGGTAGAAGGACACGTAGAAAAACAGATAACAATTATGTCAATCGAGAATCGCATAATCGTGATCGATCTAGGGGCTCTTTTTTTTAGGGAGATCCAGAATCGGGTATGCTCGGAGTAGCATTCTGCTATCTAATATTAATTCGACTGCTTCCCATATTGGTACACTTGAAAAAATTCTGTTTGATTATTGCAACGTTTATGTAACACGGTAGAATTACTATAGCAGGGTTTCAGTCTTCATGGAGAAAAGAGAGTTAGTGAAGTAGTCACTGGCAAAACTACTAGTAGACTTCTTTTCTTTCTGATATTGATAACTGAGTCTAGCTATTAGCTGGGTGAAGGTTTACTAATTAAGTTGATGCTTAACTGATAGTATGTACTGCATGGAGATTAAACCAGTCCACTCTAGTAATGTAAATTTTAATAAGAGATGCATCCTTTTCTGTGCATGTATAATATTAAAAATTTAATATTTAGTTTTAAATATTAAATAGAAGAAGATTTCAATCTTAACTCCTTTCTCCGTGTATAAGTATTTGAAACTCACCGAGCACAAAAATATTATGATTGTATTGTGCCCATGAGATGTCTTTCGATAAATCCATCTCAAAATTTAGCTATCAAATGAAACGGGAACGAAAGTAGCGATGGGCACTTTCTCTCTACAAGCTATGTAACGATTCATATCGTCGAAATTTTTTTACAATATTAATCTTGATGGCATAGTTTCATTGTCATCTACGTGCTAATAGAGAATTTTATAAATAACTTTGATAAATGTACTGTGAATCTGACGTATTTGTATTATATCCTATAGGAGGGATTTTGCGCGGTGATTTCAATGCATGACGGCCTCGTCTTGTACACGACTCCCTCCATATGCTCAGCTCTAGGATATCCTAAGGATGCTTGGATTGGCTGTTCTTTCATTAATTATGTTCATCCCAAGGATAAGGCAACATTTGCTGATCAAATCACAAGTAGGATGGTATTTCCTCAAGAAGATAGACTGAAAGGTATGATTTAAACATGATTCGATTATTAATTGAATTAACCCTTTTAGTATTTAGTCTGTTATGCATACAGGTATAATAAAAATTAATACGATAAAAATTACATCTGAAAAGTTTTTATTTGTTCCAAAAGTATTATAAAAGGTTATATAAGTAATTATAAGTTATGTATTTAAATATTGGCTAAATTCAATGAAATATCATACTGATGTAGGGTTCCTTTCGAGATCATCAGTGACAATTTCTTCGTCAGGTATCAACGGCAAAAGATCAAGCTTATTTTGTGGGTTACGAAAATACACAAGATCATCGGCTCTTCATCAGATGAACGATCAATACACGGAAGCAAGATCGAATTTATACCTTCCGTTCCATTTAACACTGTCATTCAGAGATTTTCGAGATCGTGCCACTGAACAACAGCATAAAGCAATGTTCCTAGTGGTTACTGCCCAGCCTGTTCATTCTGCATACAAAGGTAGTACGATTGAAAATTTTCTAGGAGACTCGACTGACAAAATGATTCGATCAATTTCATTTTGTAATACTATGCGACAATTTTCAATCCTGAAAGCAAATATCGAATAATTTTATTAGTCTAATCTTCTCAATGATACTATATGACTCGGTGGTTTCCATGGCGACATGACTTAAGAGGTAATTATTTGATTAAATTAGGTAATGAGAATTCTGACGATGTTGATAGTTTGTCATCTTTGTCGTCTTTTTATTTATTCGATTTCTTATCATCTGGCTAATTTTTCGTTTTCTTGTTCAGTTTGGAGACCACTGTTTCGATTATTCATTCAAAAAACTAACCATGCATTTATCATTTTCTGCAAACAAACGAAAGTTTAACTATGCTTTGCTCATTATGTATACGTATACGTATGTAATGGTGCTTTAGTAAAAAATTCTACAAAGTGTGCACTGATCGAAGCTCTAACTATTGCTTTATTATTTCTTTGCTACGACACTAACGATTTTGTTAAAAACGGATCGCCTTTTGTACTGTTTTTTGTAGTTAGATCGCTGTCGAATGCCTAATCGTAAGTGTAAATCTTCAGAGAAGTCTGTTCAAATTTTTAGAAAAGTTTTACAGAAACAGACTTGTCTGCAAACGAGATTGCTTGCTTTTTTATCGCCTATCACAAGTGCTAAAAAATTTCATTACGAAGGAAACAACTGGCAATAGAAAAATCACCCTGACCTTGTTTTTATCGTTATCCGCAGTACCAGAAGAAACAATAATATCTTCGATATTCACGACTCGTCACACTGCGACCTGCCACTTATCCCATGTTGATCCTGACGTAGTACAATACTTTGGCTATCTACCACAGGATATGGTTGGCCGTTCGTTGTTTGACTTCTACCACCCCGAGGATCTACCTTTCATCAAAGACATCTATGAGACTGTGAGCATGCGCCTCAGAAAAAAATAAATTTTTTTAGGTTTTGATCGAGTATAGCTTGAGAAAATATACGTGACACATCATAGAAAGAAAAAGAAAGTAGAACGCGAGCAAGCGAGTCCCGACAATCGAAACGTCAAACGACGTACAAATCCCTATTCCGATGAATTTATATTTATACATATATCGTTGAACAGGTGATCAAGCTCGCAGGTGCATCGTTCAGATCGAAACCATACAGGTTCGAAGTGCAGAACGGAAGCTACGTCGTCCTTGAGACAGAATGGTCATCCTTTATCAATCCTTGGACGAAAAAACTAGCATTTGTCGTAGGTCAGCACAGGGTACTGAAAGGTCCAGCCGATCCTGATATCTTTCGTATACAACATGCTACCGAGTCTGGTCAATTGGCTAACATTAGCGAGGAGGTACTCAAAGAGGCGAAAATCATTCAAGAAGAGATACGTGCACTTCTCGACGAGGTATGTCCTCCCTTGATGATTCACAATTTCTCTAGATCGTGTACATGAAGGTATACGCATTGTATAATTAAGGTAAACTTAGAATCATGACGTGCAATTGATCAATTTAATTATCATGGATGAAGAATATAAAAGAAGGAGGTGCATTGTCTTTTTTAAAGATTATTACAGAAAGTGTAAATTTTATTTTAAAGGTTTATAAAAGCTAAAATATAAAATTTTATATCTTCTCTATAATGCACCTATTTTCTACGCGATGAGAATACGCGTCGACTAATCAACACTCTTTTTTTATCTTTGCTTTCAATCAGGAGTTTAATTACATTTATCCTAATCATTATTCTAAAGCCATGACGTGTAAAACAAAGAATATGGGATTATTATTGGATTAGTTCACTTTCAAAGGCAGTGGGACAACGACACAAACGAATTTAAGGATAACAAGACAGTAAAACGTTCACGCCATATAATTGTTGTCCATGAAACATCTAACCGTAAGAAAGAAATTCAGTTCAGTCTTCAATGCTTTTTTCTTTTTTGTTCTATCGTACTTCTACACAGAACATCCAAAGAAAGTCAGATATTACCGAGCTCGATGTGTCAAAGAGATGCAAGGACCTAGCGTCCTTCATGGAAAATCTACTCCAAGAGACAAGGACATCCGGTCTTGGGAAAGATGCGCTCGCTACCGACGACAGGAGTTTTTCGGTGACTATTAGCCTCGTTTTAGTATCGCCGACACTTATCTATTTCGCTAGTAATACGCTATGATGCGCTGTGGTGGTACGCTACAAGAATATTTACAGTACGATATTTACCTAAGTTCTGCTTATGACGATTAATCTGGAAGGTATTTCTTAGATCTTGTTTAAAACACGTTGTTCGTATAAATCTACGATGTACATTCGGTACACTATATTGTTTCTTTTCTTACGGTTCATTGATTTTCCTTTCTGCTTAGTCTTTTAGATACTTGATCTACATTACTTTACGAATTCCCTTGACTTTTGACGTTTCTTTTTTATGTTTTTCTTTGACATTGTATTGTACCGAATATATATCGCCAGTACATAGCAGAGTCGAGGAAAAAAGAAACTTTTCACGAAATTTCATTTATAAAATGCTGTTTCAGTGTAGATTGTTTTTAAAGCGATCGATTTCACTTATTTTTACAAAATTTCTTTTCTCCTCTGCTGCTTACAACATGACATAAGTAGAGTAAAAACAATTGGGTGAAAGGCTAACAAGAAAGGTTTTATGTTGACATATCGTAAAGAAACCAGAAACTTTCATATAATAAATTTAAAAAGTTCAAGAGAACGATATGTCCTAGAACTTTTCTTTAAGTAATTCCAAAGGTAAGGTGCAAGGTGAGTAAGAAATACAGCAACTGATTAAGCCTTTTTTAGCCTGGTGTCACGTCTAACCGGATGGTTAACTTAAAAGTAACAACAAAGCCACATTTAATTAGTTAGGGTATTCGTGCACATCAGCTGCTATCATTTTTAGCGTGGCTAGTCGTAAGTAAGAACATAAAACCACGATGAAAAGCAAGTTGTTCTATACATAAGACACGGACGGAGGGCAAAGTGAAAATTGTGTAGGTTGTTGGTAAGTCTATTTACTTTTTTTCTTCGTTCATTATTACTATTCGTAATTATTTGATCAAATACAAAATTTAGCTTTTCTTAATACAACTTCGATTGCAACCTGGATTCCGTTCTGAAAAATGGATAAAAAAATATAAAAATGTAAAGAACAAATGCAATTTCTCTGTCTAACCATACATTGTCGCTAAAAATTCTTCTTGAAGATTAATAACAGACGTACTTACAATAATTGACTCTTGAGAAGTTTCAAACATTTCCACGTCGTTGATCGAGTTACTGTTTAACTTTGATTACTTTGTTTTCCATTCTTATCGTCGGAACACGTATCGTGTTTTCCATTGAATGCGTTCTGTCACGGCTTCTGAATAATTTTTTTCTTCATTATATCTACCCCAAGGTGTTTCACGTTGAATAACACGATATTGTTTCTTTTTCTTTTTCCACGGGTGTTAGGAATTCTTTTTTTACGTTGACCTTTTACAAATTTTTTAAATGGTATATTCCATCTAAATCTTTTCCCTTGCCTCTATTACTTTGATGCATGTCCATCCGAATATGCGTTTTGATACATTAATATTATAAATTACGAGTAAATCCATGAATTATTGCAATAGGATACTCGTGAATAACGTTCCAGCGTATTTTTCCACTTACGAGGTTTTGAAACTAACGAGGCAATATGAGAGGGTGGCAATGGTTTAGAAGAGAAGACGGTAAAACATAAAACGTCAATTGTAATACTAGTGAAAGCGACTAACGGTGTTGCAAAAATGGAGAAATATTTATTGATCGCTTATGCGCTATAAATACCTATCGCATTTTTACAAAATTGGTCGCAAGATTGCAGAGGACTTACATTAGAGCGTCAGGAGCATTTCTTGCACAGTTTTAACAGCCACCGTCTGCGCAAAATGTTTAATAAAATACTGAAAGCTTGGCGCGAGTAATCACGCAACGCAAACTTTGCAAACAATATTGACAGTGACAAAATCAAGTGACAACTCTCTCTAAGTTGCTACAATATACTTGTGAAGGGATCACGTAATCCCTTGTTGCAGGAGCACGACAGCGTGATGCTTGGTGAGATTTCGCCCCATCACGAATACTACGACAGTAAATCGTCCACCGAGACACCGCCAAGTTACAACCAGCTCAACTACAATGAAAATATTGAGAGATTCTTTAAGAGTAAACCTCCGGTTGCCACGATGTACGGCAGCGACGAAGAGAATATTAATTCCAGCAATGACGAGGGTGGAAAAACGAGTCTGAGTTCAGCAGGTAAGACTCTACTAATCTTTAGGATTCTTTGTTCGATCGTTTTAACGTGATATTGTTTTATAGTGAGAAAATGCATGTCACCGATAAACGGAAGCGGTGCGAGCGGTAGCGGTAGCGCTGAAAATCTGAGCAGTGAGTCAAATAATCAAACGAGCTCACCAAGCAGAGGCAACACTTCAAACACGACGAGTACAGAAAGCTTCAAACCACCCACGTTGACGGAATCATTGCTCAACCGTCACAACGAGGACATGGAGAAGCTGATGATGCAAAAGCATCGAGAACTACGATCCAGAATCAAGAATAGCGATAAGCTCAAGGATTCACGGATCAAGACCACCGAGAAGATGAACGATGTGAACTCTCATTTTGTCAATCAAGGCCATGGTATTAAGAGAACCGGAAGCCATAGTTGGAAGGGAGACAGTATCAAAGTTAGTAAGATTGAAAATGTATAGTTAATCGAGGTGTTGTGTTATGATTATTTATAATTTGATTCTTTTTAATTAGATCTCTAAACATGATGAAATGTCAAGAACGAGTACCGTGGGTCAATTTCCTACTAATGTCACCACAACGGTCACAAGCATGAGCGTCGATCAATCAACTGTTATTCAAACAGGTGCTAATTTTAATTTCTGGCAACCACTGTCGGTTAGTGTACCACCTGCACCCCCTGCTCAACCACAAAATCAACCACAAAAGTGAGTTTCCTGTAGTGAAAGAAGAATTAGTTCTTGAAACACTGATGATGTAATGATTATTTTTGTATTTTAGTGCCAATTCACAAGCAATACCTAGAATACCAATACTGCCGCCCATGATTCCAGTATACTATGTGCCTGTTTCACAAATTAGTGACCCAACTGTTCCATCGCCTCAAAAGGAAAAACTTAGTTTCCAACAATCAATGCAATCGTCACAACCAAATCCTTACAGTATGTATTTTCTGTTAGGAAAATAAGAATTTTTTAATTAAAAATTGCTATGAATTTTTCAGTGTTTGTGCCAGTGTCATACGTCACCACAACGATGGCTGGTGTCATTTATCCACCAGTAACAGGTACTCAACCGGCAGGGATGATGTATAGACCTTTTCTAATTCCTGAACAAACTTCAGTTAATGGAGAAAACAACCAGTTTCCAATTAACAGGTTTTTTGAAAGAAAACGATCAGCTAGTCGAGCAACGAGTGTGAAAGGAGAACCGGGTAGCACTATGGCGATGTCTGAATCATCTAAAAAAGTAGAATATTGCTTCAGTTGAACTCGTTTGTTAATCATATCTAACTGTTTGACTATATATTAGAGGTTCAATGTTTATTAGGTATTATCGCCTGGTGGACTATTCTCTTCCTGCATAAGCAACGATGGGGGTTGCTCGAGCTTAGTGAACGCATCAACGCCAAAAAATCAGAAGATCCACAAACAGAACGATTACAACGCGGATGAATCAACTTCGTCGAGTTTTTATAGTAGTTTTCTGTATAAGAGCAGCGAAAGTAGCTGCAATCTAGATCAAAAGCCGGCGGAATATTTACCAGAGGCAAGTGATATTGATATTGTCCAGTTGATACTGTAAAGTTAAAGCACTCGATGTTGCAGGAAATCTAAGCCTTCTAATGGAAGGCTTGTGATAATACTCCAGGCTTAAAGATTAAGCTGCACTGCTTTTATTTCGCTCCCTCGCCTCGTTCTTCATTTTGTTTTAATTTTGTTCGTTTAATAAAAATTATGATTTTGTTAAATGTCCTAGGTTACTGACGAATCGAACAGCACGAAATCTATCCGCAATCTGTTTCAGCTATTGTGTAGGAAAACTATTTCTAACTGGTGGGCATTTATTCTAGGACAATATGAAGCAACAGTACGGTAAGCGAAGAAAAGAACCCCCCTGGCTTGAAGGTGTCCAATTAACTCCAGAATTGATCTATGAGTACCAAATACACCCAAAGAGCTTGAACGAAGTACTTCAATCCGACTTGGATGCCTTAAAAAATTTCAATCAACCCCTCCTGGTGAACGATCAACTGGGTCAACTTTACTTGGACCTGGAGGTTGAGGGATTCGAAACGAAACTTGTTCTCGAAGATGGACTCACATCCAGTGGCAGTGACAGTGGGAGCAGTAGTGGAAGCTGGACAGCAGAAACTATTCCGCAGGTAAAATAAATTTTAAGACGTTACAGTTTAAGTTTCAAGTGGCATAACTTATGTCAGGATTTCATAGCAACCGGAAAATTCTTTTAATTAAAACAATAAGGGACAGATATACAATTTTTTCATCATTTAGTTCTTTAAGATGCGTTCAATGATAAGAAAATAATTGTACTATAAGTATAAATGCTTAAACAAAACATAAGTGTTTCGGTATTACATTTCAGTTTGATGAGAAGGGTTTAGATTGTTTATCAGTTTTAAAAGTTAGCATTCGATGACGGTTTTATTACACAAACAAGATCTTGTTTACAGCAAGAACATAGAAGAAGAATGGTGAAGTACGGTAAACTCGTGATGATTCACGAAGAAAATGCACCATTACCACCGGCGTTACCACCTCAAACCGTACCTTGCCAGGACTTATAAGATCAATCTTTTAACGTCCAATTTGTAATTGAACACTTGTTACAAATTCGAAGTGTTCTGAGATATCGCGCTTTGAATTTGCTTTTGGTGCTTGGGTTATAATTGGCTGATTTATACAATGTCCTTCAGATTATTTTATCAGTACACTTATGTTTTGAGGTAGATAAAATTGTCTATATTTACGCGTATACGTTTACGAATAACTCCTTTCTATTTGTTCATTTATATTCTTTATTATTTTCTGAAATATTACTTTTTCTTTTAAGATACATACCTGCGATTGATTCACAATACCGTTATTATATTATTAGACATATATATTTGTTTAGAATTTAAAGTACATAGAGGTAAGATACGATGCTTTTTTCATCGATCATATCCATTTTAAATATCCATTTTATTTATGAATCGAAGAATGTTCATCATACATTTTAACTGCCTCAAACGTTCGTTCTTGTATCTACCCATAAAGGTCAATTCGTACATTTAGATTGTAAGGTAATCGATAAGGAATCGATTAGAGTTCGTTAAGGCTTAAGTTCCTTTTCTTCTTTCGAATAAAACTCGCTGATATTTTTATTATTTACGATCATGGTACCTTTATGAATACACATTAGATCGGTGACAATTTTGCAATCATAACTTTTCGTCTCAAGGGTAAAAAACTAATATTCCTGCAGCTACAAGGTTCCTGTTATCGGGCTGACATTGACGTCCACGTGATTCTCTGTAATTGAATCGAGCTTATAGTCAATAAATTTTCTATTTTCATACAAAACATAGCTGATAAATTCTCATTGTTTCGAAAAATAGAAAGTCCGTTGGAGAGTCTGTCGCCTGCACAATTTTTAATGTAGATTTGATACGAAAAAAGTTAGGGGGAATGGGAAAAGCAAAAGGAATCGATAAGTATAATTTTATTACTAACAGACAAGGAATCAGGTCAACGCTATAATTTTCTATTATGTATAACCTTGTGTTGAATAATCAACAATTTCCATTGTATTTTGTAATTAATTTTTTTTCAGTAAAACCTAATCGAAATTAGATGAGTACTTTTTTTTTAAGGATAGATTATTTTTTTTTCTTATTTACTTTTTTTTTTATCGTGTATTAATGAATTATACATTTAATCAATAATATAAAGTATATTTTATATTATTGATCAAATAATGAATAAAAGCATGATAATTGTAAGTTACCTAGCATAAGTCTATGTGTTTTACAAAGAATATAACTTTTTATATCCTACAAGACTTGTCGAGATTCTTTGAGTGAAATTATATTTCAACTTTTTCTATAATTGCTTAGGGTTAATTAAGATTTTTACTTGAAATTGATCAAGTATATAAATGTTTGAATAATAGCGTTGCTAGTTAACGAATCCTTTGCTTTCCTTGTTCGAATGTGAAAAATACTTTTATACATACATATATGTATAATCTCTATACAGGGAGACTACGTTCTAAATTTGCATTATAACATTTATATGATGGAAAAATATTTTATATACTATCTATTTCTACACATATTACCATGATTGATATACTTACTGTATGATGTAATTGAGAGGTATAAAAGTAATATTTTGTATACCAGTGATCTGCGAGTATGTAATTCTAAAGAATTAAACGATGTGGCCAGTTCGTTAAAAGGTCATCACCGCTGATTTTTGTAGATGCAAAAAACATTTCATCATCCTGATTATCCTGAATCTAGTCCAAATTGTATAAAATAGTTATCACATTTATGTTAAAAGTACTATATAGAAATTGATGTTGTTCTAAAAACAGCATTCATTTCCATATGTGTTTTTAACATACCTCAAGTAAAGAAGACAAAAGCATCGATGCTGAAGTCTTCTTCGCTGATTGACTTATCTTTGAAATGCAATCAGATTAAATTTTAGAAAATCTGTGTACAATTTGAAAAATAGAAGCTATAAGTCGTTATTATTATAAAATTGCAATTAAAATGTCGATTATACGTCTTGTCGCTTGTTTCTTAAGACGATCACGTTTCCTAAGCACAAAATTTCATTGATTTTTCTTCAGACTGTGATCGTCTAAAGAACTGAATATATGAATAAATAAATACGTGTACTTTCGTATATACATATATATTTATTTATTTATGTCATTTATAGCGTGCATATTTTTTGCATTTGCATTCAGAACGGCATCTTATCAATTTAATTAAGAAAGAAAATAAGTATAACTAGAATTGTGTACTATTAATGATGGGCCATACCTAATTGACACACTTGATTTTTATGCAATTTTTATATGTTATAGAACGCGAAAAATTGTTCAGTACGTGTTTCTTTGATTGACAAACACTTATGTTAAAGGAAGGGAATTAAGAAAGCTATTTTTTCAAATATTTCAAAAACTATTAGACGTCGACAAAAAAATTAAAATGGAAAATTGTAACTTTTTAAATAATTGTCGTCACTCCTTTAATTTCATTATGTTTGCCAATAAATAAACATGTGCTGTATATCATAGCAGAATTGTATTAAAATTAATGTGTGGCTATTAGGTATGCCACCAAAGTGTTTTAAATAATTATGTAAGTACATACTTATTTACTATTTGTTCTGTTCTCACGAAAATGATACTAAAATTTAATTTCAAGCTCATCATTAGTTTCCAAATAATTATTCTGTTTATAAGAAACTGATGTTGTTCATTTTATGAACTTTCGATTAAGTAGTCGCAAAATTTCTCTGGAAACAAAACAAATGGTATATGAAAATGTACTTATAACGACGAAATTTTTATATCTATCTATCATATGTATACTCTATTCGTGGTTTATACTTGTTTTCGTTTTTTAAGTGTAACTGTTTTTTATCGTGTATTTGTTAACGTTATAAGCGTGAGGATCTTTAAATAGATAATGGAACCACAAATGATGAAGATAATAAGAAGATATGGTTAAATTCTTCTTCGTTAAAATATATTTTTAATTACATTTTTCATATTTTGTCGATTTATTCCTTTCCTTGCAGTATTTGACAACATAACTAGTATTTTTCAATTGAATTTACGACATTAAACAAAAAGACAAAAAAAAATAGGAGACGCTGCTCTAAAATATTTTATACGGATTATTTTCAATCAATATATCAATGAATCGAATGTAACGAACATTTTTACAGCGATATTAATAAACAGCTTAAGCGAGAGATTATCGAACGAACATAGAGTGCTATCGACAAAATATTTGATACTTTATTGTAATAAATAATATATTACCAAGAACCACGTTTTATATCACATTGTGTTCTGTGATTGAAAAGAATAAACTCGTGCAGTTTGTCGGCCTCTTCAAGTACAAAGTATCAGAATATCGTGATTAATTTCCATAAAACATTTTTAATCATGTACAAAAATACGATACGATCAATTTGTCCAGATATACGTAACATTTCATCTGTGCTCAATTTTAGATGAAATACAAACTGCACGAATCACACGATCGCAAAATGTTTCTGCAGTCAATCAAAGTGATCTTGTATTGTAAAAACGTAATAATAGTAATAGCAATACATCAAATATGATAAAACAACGGTAATCTAAATGTAGACGTTGTATTCGTTTCATGCATATGTTATAGATTTATTTCGTTTAAAAGAAGATGGATTTTCCTTTTGTTGTGCATCGATAAAGAAAGAAAAATAAATATTCTGCGAGCTTGATTTGCGTACGTATGCGTTTAAACAGGCTGATAATAATTCAAATATGACCTTACTAATTTATCATTCCGTTTCTGTTTAGCGAGTTTAGGTATGTTTGATATTATTTATGGTTTGATCGTTATTCGATTTTTTAAAGTATGATTACAACCGAGCTTTTGTCAATTTTCTTTTCTGTACAAAGAGAAAATGTATTTCAAGACATCATTTACATCGAACATTATATAGTTTCACTGAAAGTATTGCTAACATAACATTAGAACACTAACGCATATATTGTCTTTGTACATTCCCATTTAATGTTGAAACATACATATGAAATACACTATATCTGTGGGTAAGTGTAAAAAGAAAAAAACTGTATTGATATTTTTCAACGATTTCCAACGCTTTATATTCCTGCTAAGTTAACAGAAGTAAGTTCTTCCTCTCCTGGCTCACAACGTACACAGGGTGTCCCATGTAATTGTGATAAAAAATTTAATTTTGTCTAATGAAATGTTTCTCTGTCTTCTACCATTTTAGACTAATGTAAGTTGGCCCAGATGCATGGAACACTCTGTATTCCAGCTCACCCAAACTCCAGCTCCAGTCATTTTGTACTTTATTTTCTTCATTGATCTAACTTATTTTAAGCTCAACCCTCTTAATTTAATATTTCAGCTTGTCAACCGAACACTTTATCCGTTCAGTTTGTTGACCTCTGATTTGATTAACATCAATCATCAGTCAAGGTCATACTAATGTAACACGGTTTCGACCACGTTTTCCTCGCCAGTTCTACGTGCTTCAGCGCCAAGTTCTAAGTTTCCAACCTGAAGAATCCATCAATATCAATTGATTTAACAAAATTCAATCATCATTTACTAAATCACATTATTAAAAGCACAATTGAAATTATTAATCATAACTCGCCTCAATTTGTCGTGAATCTTTAGGAGATTTCTTCAATAATTTTCTTATAAAAGGGGCCAGTAACATTGGATCTAATTTCTCAACGTTCTCCGACGAGACAAGACTTACAGCAAGACCAACACTCATCGTTACTAATGCACCAGTGACTGTGTACCATAAATAACTGAGACGGTATAATGCTAAAGGTTCTCTATAAAAAAGTATAAAATATATTATAAGTATATAAATTAATTTTGTTTAACAAATATAGGTGTATGCTTACGGGAGAAAATCATCGCTGTCCAAAATGTTATCCGGAGGTTCGAGCAACATTAAATTCTCTACCTGAGGAAACGAGTAGTAACATCCTTCCGTGGTAACTGGTTTCTCGTCGAATCTATTAAAACATCGTGTATTATTAATTAAAGGACGTTTCCCGAATTAAGACCTTCGAATTATTCTCACTTTATTCTTCCACTGGCAATCGCAGCTTCGGCTGAAAGGCTAATCCATCCCATGAAACCCAGGCCAGCAAGACCACCTATCAGAGCGCCCTGAATTTTATACACCATCTATTGTTATCATTTTCACAAAATATCATTAGTTGACAGTATTATGTTTCAAGGTACCTTGGCATTTATCCAAGGCAACAGAATGCCCATGCTGAAGATACCGAGGGATGGTCCACTGGTAATAGACGACAAGTTTGTGGATAACTGAAACACATTTTTATCTTCAATTTCAAACCTAAAAATTCCTTGAATTATATCGTACCTGCAACACGTGAGATCCTGTTTTCTCCACGACAAACACGAGTGCCACACAAATTACCCCAAGAACAACGACCGTGAGTTTCAGTAAGATGTCCGCGGTTTTAGGGGTGAAGGGTGTTTTTTTAAAGGGTTTAATGAAATCCTCTAACACCACCGCAGCCATAGAATTCAAACCAGTGGACAACGAACTGAAATATGAACATAGACAAGTTTTCATCTTACTTCCTCAATTTTAATACGCTCAATTGAAAGGAAATCACCTCAATGCTGCGCTAAACACTCCAGCAACAAAAAGACCAGGAAGACCTGGGTATCCTCTTAATATATTCATAACAAGTAATGGTAACAGCTGATCCTTCGCACCGGCCAACTGTATTAAAAACAATTTAAAATGACACCATTGTAAAAACGTGAATAATTCTTTGCAAAATGTAAAACCAGTGCGTGATGAATATGAAATCGTTCTATTACTTCCCGTTCGTGATACATTATGAAATTGGGCTATCAGGGAAGTCTAATCATTACCTTTGTCGTAAGTGGATCGCACACATGGTACCAAGCATATATTAACATTCCCGCATATCCGCATATTCCAACTAAAAGTAAGACTCCAATCATGAAAGTCCAGAGCGCTCTGAAACGAACAATTGCATGCAATGATGTTACTCGATTATCTATTCGACGATCTTTATATCCTGAATAATGGAGTCAGTGGCGCAATCATAATTGTGATATAGAGGAGTCAAAAATTTTTGTTCCCATTTTATTGACCCCTTAGTTGCGTTACTAAATGAAGTTAATATACCTTCTAGCTGATCGTAAGGTGGGTAATGCAAGATATCGTTGTATCATATTTTGATTGATAGCAGATATCTGCAACCAGTGGACCATACCACCTATCACTAAGGACCAAATGGTGTGTCTTGTAAGAGGACTCCAATCTGTCCTGTTATAAAAATATCAATCAATTACTACATATTACTGTAGTCCATTTAAACAATTGATTAGATTATAATGCTCACGCGGGTAATTCAAGCCTTTCAGATTCCATGTTTCTTCTTATCACTAACGAGAATCCACCTACATCCTGTGTTCCTTTGATAATAATCAACAGCATGGAACCAATCATAATAAAGATTTGAATGAAGTCGGTCCATACTACTGCACGCAAACCACCCTGATTAATAGAGGCCAAGTTAATTCGAGCTTTCGTGGAGGTAATTGTCTTCTTTATTTATAAATTGTTTCTTACCACGCAAGTGTAAAAAATGCATACGATGCACACGAACGGAGTGACTACGTGCACGTTAACCCCGGTAACTACAAATTCATTACGTTTTTATTCAATTTATGAAAGATTTTATTGGCAATTATCTTATATTATTTTACCTTGATTAAAAGCTAAAGCTGGTACATAGATAACAATAGGTAACCATGTCATCTAGAAATATAATGGAATCGTTTTATAAAATATTTGAATGAATCAAATGGAACTGAATCTGACTAATTAACTCACGATGCCGATTGAGAATAGCACCGAGCCAAGGGTACGAATCTTTTTATCAAATCGTCTTTCGAGGTACTCATAAGTGCTTGTGAGCTTGAGGTCATGAAATACAGGTAAATATATTCCAGACATTACAAAACAAGCGATCATAGCTGCAAAACCGATGCACAGGTAGCTGGTACCGTGTACGTAAACTTCCGTTGGTATACCCAATAATGAAATACCTATTATCATAATTATTTACAGGGGGAAATAATGAAAAATGATATATAACTTCAATAAAAATACTACCAACAAATAGTCATTATAAAATCCTACCGGATATAAAGCTGGCTATGAGGCTCAAGCTGACAGGGAAGGTCTTCATGTTCCTACCACCCACGAGGTATTCATCCACTCCCGATGATTTTTTAACGAAACCAAAGTAAATACCGACGAAACCACAGACAATTAACATGATCACAAACACCGTGTAATCCCATATACCAAAATTTCGCATCATGTTGCCGACTTCCTGGACCGTTGGCATGTCCTGGGACCAATTTGGCTGACGGTCCTCCATGGTATCATCCGCGGTCATCTTGTTGCAAAATGGAATTTTGCGGACGTTTCAACGCCGTCGGGCGTTTCGAATCACGAGATAAGTTCTTTTTGCAATTAATATACAAATTGAGACTCGGTACCCATAGAAAGTAATGAAAAAACTATTGGAAATGATAGCAAAATTTTTAAGCCTAAGGTATAATAAATAATGCTTACCGTGATTTTTATATTCGAGTTTTGTTTGTCTATTATAATAAAATTAGTTTATCAAGAGTAACAGTTTTTGTTGTTTTCAGGTATATTTGCAACCAACGAATAAGACTTGCAAAGTTTTTTTACACACGCACGATGCAACACTTGAGAAAAATAGTTGTTATTTGCACTGAACTTATTGGAATATATAGTACGAAAATAGATGTAATACATAAGGTAGAAGATTGTAAGGATCCACGGAAGACCGACCGCAGTTACTGTGATAGTTCATCTGAAAAGAGTCAAAAGCTCGGAGCGGCCCGATACGAATGCACACATCACAATTGTGCCATTGTGACAATTTTCTCATTAAACCGACAATGGACATTAAGTATGAGTTAAAACGACCGGGTATATGTCGGAGTGAATCGTAAGTGGATAATACGACCTAAATATGATAGTAGTTGTATAGATGTGTTTGATCACATTGACGATCGCGTTTCAACCAAGTTCCTGGATCATTTTTGAGTGCCAATTATTTATTAATATATGGTATCGAATATTAAAGGTGATAATAATTTCGTGTTTAAATTATATATATATGTAGTAACTATTAATTCTGGGATCTAGGATAAATTATAAAAAAGTAGACATATAATTATATTCCATTTTGATTTAATTAAGAAACAAATTGCAAATTATACAAGATTTTTTTAAATAGACGATCAAATCTCTCATTTACAAAGTATCTCATTTAAATAAATTAACGTTTATCCTTCATAGAAATGTGGCAATTCATTGCCCAAAATGACTTTTCTTTCAATGCCCTTTTCTGTGATAACACCAATTCGAATAACACCACCGCTGCTACCGTCACGAGACATTGCCAATGCCAAGGCTGTAAAATTAAGGAAGTAATATAATTATCAAGTTATTAGATAACAATATCAAACAAGCCAAATACTGATAAATACTTACTATTTTCAACTAATTTTACACATTCATCCCTTGACATATTTGGCTTGTATTGTGAATCCATGTAACCATATACATAAGTTGAACCAGACCCTCCAATGGAAATTGATTGTCTTACGCACATACCACCCAGAGGAATGCTATAAACTTGACCTCCTTTACGGCTATCCCAACCTGCCACTAAGATACCTGCCATTAAGGAGTCTCTGTAGTTATAACACAATTCACGAAATACATTTGCTGCTGTTTCTACTAATGGTTCCATGCCCAGCTCCATTCTACAAGAATAAAATAAAGTCATCTTTAGTAATTTATTTTCTTTGTACTTTATAGCAGCATCAATTGTGTATCTTTATGTGCAAGATACTTACTTGTGGAGGCTTAAATGATATGCAACTATATCGGAAATAGCTTGGGTATCTGCTGCAGAACCTGAACGACAGCAATAGATATAATCTGTGATTTTTGTTAATTTATCAGCAAAGCGATTGGAAATATAAGCCCTGAAATATAATTAATCGTACAGCCATTATTAAGTGATTGAAAAGATATGTTTATTGTTTAATTTTAAGTAATATATCATACCCTGTTGTTGCTCTAGAATCTGCTCCAATTACAACTCCTCCATCAAATTCACAGGCCATAATTGATGTCTATTAATAAAATAATTAAAAAAGCTTTATAAGAGAAACATAGAATAAAAATTTGTATACTTTGGGAAGGATTATTTTCAATTTTTGTTAAGGATATTTAAGTTTGCATTGTCATTCTAACCTTAAAGCATCTTAATATTAAATTCTAATGAAACTTACTCCTGTACTTTGTTCAGAATGAAGCCAATCAGGAACTAAATTATCAGTAACTGAACCTATATTAGGTTGAATTAAATTATCCACCATATGAGCCATTATTTCAAAATTTTAAGAAATCTTTCTTCTACCTGAATAACACAAAACACTTGAATATTGAAAACTAATTTTGCGCTACAGTGTTTCCATCTATACCGCAGTTCACCAGAGTCCATAACTGCGACGCGCAGGTTGGAAGATGGTGGGGGAACGCAGCGAGCTCTCTGCTAATCGCTTTCCACTTCGTTTGGAAGTATCGCCAATCAGGGCAAAGATGCGCACTGGAGAAGCGCGAAGAACGAAAACTGGTCTTTTCGCAGTTATGGACTCTGGTGAACTGCGGTATACGAAGAGCAAAACGATGACATTATTTGTTTCTGAACTAAAATAAAATCGCTAAACCATAAATAATGAATAATTATAGTAAAATTGTAGATAAATATTATAATTAGCTTTTATTTTTAAAAAAAAGAAGAAAATTTCATTCATTATTCGCATCACAATGAATTTTCTGCGATATCATTTTAGGGTCATATCATAAACATTTGAATAAAAATTGAACAGATCCTTCTCTTAAACATAATTATTGTTGTTTAAAAAGTATATTAACATTAGTAAAAATATTACAACGTCATCAAATACATTGAGTTTTAAGTTTGGCGAAGTAATCATGTAAAGCGGCGTAAAATATAAATTATTGTTGCATCAGAATTTCTATCTTGTGAACACCAACTACTAGTCTATAGACAAGTTAAGCATGTTATACAGTATATTTTGCTTATTTTATACAAAGGAGAAGTCCTTATTCTACAATTTGAGGAGTTAAGCAAACAGTATAAAATTTATATGGATTGAATGTATTATTTATAGGAGCAAAGTAATATGGAATTACTTTATCAAGATTTGACGAAAAATTAAATGCAGAAAGTACATTCACTCGTTGATTGCATGTCTACCGTGACTTTCGCAACTTCCTCAGGTACCAACAAATTTCCCGGAGAGTGCGGTATATCGAGTGCAACGTTCTCATATAACACTGTATAACACTTGACTCGTGTTACACTTGATTTATCAGTAGTGCATTTATACTGCTTCGAGCTTTGGGTTAACAGTAAGAATGACATGTACCACGCAAAAGACTCATATTAACAATCGGACGAAAAGTGTTGATTGTGATCGTGGGTAGCAGCCGGTAAAGAAATGGCAATTTCTAGTTGGATGATTTGGGGTAGGAGCCTTCGGACGAGCAGGTCTCATCGAAGTACGTTGAACATTGGCTGTCAATTTCTTTATTTCGAAACTATATCGTTTTCTATTTATGCGTTTTTTTATAGGCCGTCAAGACAGTGAAGACAGCTGCGTGCAACTCGATCTGTCAAGAGGTTAGTAACTTAACCTGTAATCTGTAACTTTTGTACCCAATAACACTTTGATAACGTGACTTCTTTGTATCCGTTTATGATTGCATGTGCAATCAACCCTTAATATATGTGTTTGCAATGTAACGATATATAATATAAGAATTAAGAACTTTAAAAATAAATTAAATTTCTTTGATAAAAAGTATAAAGATGTCTTGTAATGTCAGTGTTTATAAGGTATTGAGTACAACAGTAAGCAATGTTTTGTCTACATATATGATATATAGTTGTCTACAAGTAAGTTTTATTTACAGGATTGAAAGAAAATGTGAAAGAAGTTTTAACAAATCTCTGTCAGCGTCACAATGTTCCAAGCATTAAAAAATTAGCATATCTTAATGCCATTGTTAAGTTAATTAGTGAAAATGATTCGCCAGAATATGGATATAGTATCAATGACATATTTTGCTGGTAAGCATTTAAGAATACTTAACCCAAGTAATGCTTGATTAGCATCATATATTATTCTATAATTATTTTATAGCTTGCGGGTTGGTCTTGTCCATGAAGCAACACAAGTTCGTGCTGCTGCTTTACGAGCTGTAAGATATATGCTGAAAAAGGAACAGGATGTTATTGCAATTAACAAATTACAGTATCCATACTTTGTGGCTCGCAGTATGGATGTTAATTTAAGAAATGAAATGGAAAGAATGCAAGCGCTTAGGCTTGTTAGAAGAATTTTAGTATTGGCACCAAAATATTTTAGTCCTATTTTAGCAAGGTCTCTAGTAAGCTTAACAAATGGTGGAATCGAAGAAAAAGATGGAGCATTTAGAGCATTCTTGGCAACTCTTTGCGAGTTAGGTATTTTAAATTCAAATTTATTGATCAGTTGTGGAGGAATTGGTGCTCTTGCAAGAGCTGCCATGACTGGACAAAGCCCTACTATAATTGAATCTGTTGTGGGAGTTTTACTAAAATTATTAAATACTCCTGAAACTAGGAATAGCGTTTCCCTTTTATGTTTTGCAGCTCCTTATTGTGAGCTTCATTCATTGAGTATAGATAGAACAAAAGAAGAAAAAGAAAGATTTGCAGCAAGTAAATTAGCATTATTAAGTATACTGAGATCTTATTCAGGAGTTTTACATTTTTGTCGTCCTGATGATAATTCAGGCTTAAAAGCTATAGCAGATATACTGTATGTTGAACAACTTGAAGTAAGAGGTGCTGTATTAGAATTACTTTACGAATTGTTAAACTTACCTTTACCTACGTGGACGGATGAGCCTGATGTTGCTCTTGCAGCGGTAGATCCTAGTAGAGCACGTGATTCATGGAAATTGTCAGAAGGTTTCGTTGCAGCTGAAGGAAAATATATTTTACCGTCTTTATCGTCACGCTGCCCAAATATTACAGAGATACATTTGGCATTATTGGTTTATGCTTTACTGGAATGTGGTTTACATCGTGCTCTGGCAGAAACTATCGTTTCTACCGATACGTTTATTTCCGTACGCGCAGCTGTCCTTTTAGGTGCATTATTACATCTTGCACATTCTCTTCTACCATCCGAAGTGTGTGATCTTACTCCTCCTCTACCAAATTTATTGGAACATGCAAGCGCTGGGAAACATCAAGCTTTAGCAGCTGTTACAATCTTGGAACGAATGCATACGATGATGAGACGGAGACCAGCACCGGCGAGTTTATTTCTTGATAAGCTGTTACAAGCAGGCACTTGGTTAAGGCCAACATTACCGAGACGTCAACGAACATCCAGTAGACATTGGTTACGAAGAGAGTCACCAACCACACCACTCTTAAAAGATGCTCAAGTACTCAGTTTTAAAGACGCTCATGCTTGGAATTGGCCGGTAGTACAATCTATATTACGTTCACGAGAGGATACAATGCGAATACTTCATGATTCTGACCACAGGTTGTTCATGAAAAGGCTTGTGCGTTATTTCAAACCATGTTCAAATGCATACAGTAGAGTGGAATTGGCAACAAATGTTAGTTTAGCAAGGGAAGCAACATTAGCTGGTTGTGATTTATTAAATTGTTTGCTAGAACTTCATGAACCTGAAAGCACAAAATTATTAAATGAATTGATCGGAGATGTTGCCGAACAAATTTCCAGCATCCGGACAGCTCAATCAGCTCACGAGTGTTTGTTCTCGCCTCGTCATATGTCCACTACTTGTTGTCAGAAGTATTTTCTGTTTCTTGGACAACTGAGTCATTCAGCCAAAGGAACTGTGATTCTAAAAGGATTTAATTTATTAGAAAAGTTGCAAGACTTGGCTTTAGCTACTAATCATGACTGCTATGTTAAACTTATAGTTTCAAGTTTAGATTATTCTAGGGATGGACCTAATAGAAAAGTATTAACTAAAATTATTACAGAAGCAGCGTTAGACAGTACGCGTCTATATGCAACACAGTTCCTTAGATTGATACTCAGAGCCAGAATGGTTGACGCTTATCGCTGGGCAATAGCATTACTGTCGGATCGGCTATCAGATTCCAATAAAACTGTAGCACTAACTGCTTTAGAGGCATTACACGAAGCTTGTGAAGAACCAGAGTATTTAGAAGCCATGTTACAACAAGGAAGTCAATGTCGAGATTGGGAGAAATGGTTGAACGAGTTAGGTGATAAAGGATATTTATTGAAAATTCGACTTTACTCTATCCATCAAGGTTTTACAACAATTTCGTCTCCTGCGGAGGAATTAGAAAAATGGATCAGTCCGGGAGGTTTCGCGGAAAGATACGTTGGTCTAATAGAAGGAGAAATACACGATTCTTTGACTCGTCGTCAAAGAGATGAAACTGGAAGCTATCACAGAAGAACAACCAATGTTCCTATGACACCTCATAACATTTTTATTTTACCACATTTGTTAGGTCAGTTGGCACAGCATGACTTAGGCATGCAATTATTAATGCGTCGGAATGTGATACAACGTTTTGCCCGAATCATTCAAAGATTTAAAATGGAGGTTGGTGGTAGAGATTCTGAGTCAAACTCAAGGTGTATCAAAACCAATCGGTCTGTAATCGATGATGTTTACCCTATGTCGGAAGAATCTGGCACGGACGAAACAATAGAGTCAAATAAATTGGAGACAATAATGGATGCTGAAACTGTGGAGGGTATTGATATGTATAGTACACAAAAAGTTGATTCTTTAATTGATATTCGTCGAAAAACAAGTTTGGATGACTCCAGACGTACTACTCCAGAAAGGAGTTGGAGATTAGAGACTGAATCTCGCGAGGATCAAGCTACAAGTTTAAATAAAAGAATTTTAAGAGTGAAATCTGCATTGTGGTTGCTTGGTCATGTGGGAACATCAGCAGCAGGCGTAGAACAATTGAATCATTTAGGAATTTTAGAATTAATTACTTCCATGGCAGAAACGTGTTCGTATTACGCGGTGCGAGCAACGTCTTTGTACGCCCTTAGTCTTATCGGTACCACTCGTGCAGGCGCGGATGCATTATTAATTTATGACTGGCCGTGTGTTAGACACAGACGAGGAGATCATTGGCCAGTACTTCCTCCTACAAGTAGGTATCCAGCTCCGAGTCCTGTTCCTATACAACGACATCATCGGAGTCTTAGCGATGGCAAACCAGAATTACCCGAACCGGTAGCTCGAAGAACAAGAAATCGATCTGAAAGTGCAGCTACAGATCTCGAAGCTAGGCGTTATGCTCTATTGTAAGAATCTTTTAAAAGTTACTTCAAACAAATTAAAAATATTTCTTGAAACTATGCTTTCACAGAGAAAGGGGAGAAACGCCAAGTCCTGTGTCAAGTATTCAAAGATTGAGTCAACAAGATGCTGAGGGATATGCAAGGCTTCGTAGTTTACAACGCCATCGAAGACCCAGTTATTCCCATAGTAGCTTAGAGGTAGAAAAATATTTCAAACTTTATTTATTGTTTTATGAATCATTTAATTAAATTGCTGCATTTTATTTCAGATGTACAGTTTAGATGGTCGACTTTCGTTGCAAAGTTTATCAGAATTTGATTCATCTCGCAGTTGGATTGCGGAACAAGTACTCACTCCAACACCCCCACCCCCTGAAGATAATAATGATAATTTATTTTACATGGGTATAGCCCTTCCAAAGAGACTTATAACTATTTTTCCGGAACTACCACAGTTGTCGGTTCCAACTATAACAGACGATGCACCCAAGTCTGATATAGAAACGACGGAAGTAGACGAGGAATCTTGTTCAGAATGTGATGTAGATGCGGAGCATTATCGTATTTGTTTAGTATGTTATCATGGTAAAAGCATCAGCAGAGATTCGCTTCCAGAGCAAGATATAAAATTACAGAGGTAAAACTACTCAACTAGAATGATGCATTGTCAATAGATTCACTGAGTTTTGCAGTAATGTAAAGTTATACTAATTTTAACAATACTTATTTTATTTAAATAGGAAAATACTTAGACATGCACAACGGTTAGCAAATCCTATATGGTACCGACATAGTCGGCAAACTCTGCTTAGATTAAGGCAATTACATTCAGATAAATTTCAGGTACTAATTGTGATAAAAATAATATATTTAAGATATTCTTCATCTATAATTACATCTTTTATTGCAGGACACTTGTTTATTTTCGGATGTAGCTGCCCGTTTAGGTAGTGGTACATATAGAATGCCAGCACGACGTTTTTTACAAGAATTATTTTTAGATTCTACATTCGATGTAGTAAGTTCTTACGAAAAAAGATATTTTCTTGCGTGGATTATAACATATCATCAAGATAAAATTTTAATATTAATATTATAACACAGCTTTATGTAGAAGCAGCTAATATTCTAAAAGTACACGAAGACAATGATGATAAATCAGTGCGATTTCCCATTTCTACGGCACTTGAATCCGATTCCCATGTGCCTTCGGAAATTAAGATCAATGGAAGACTTACATTTTCCGAGATTCAAGTAACACAATTGGATGCCCTTGTCGAGGAGGCAGGAGCTGATACCTGCGTAACACAACAGTATAGTGAAAAATCACAAGAATTTTCGTGTAAACAAGAACGGCGAAGTGACGAGAAAATAATTGCCGAAATTTTAAAACCAGAAGAAAAATTACGCCTGTCAAAGAGTTCCGATAGATTGTTAAAAGTATCAGGTACAAACACTGCCATCAGCCTTGATTAGTCCTCAACTTTCAAGAAATTGTAAATATTTTGAATTAAAATGGTAATGAAGTATGAAATAAATTACACTGCCCAAATCGATTCCAGAAAAAATGAAAAAAATTTTTTCATGTATATTTATATAATATACTATATACTATATGTATGTACATTCAACAGACAAGGTATAGAATGCAGCGAGGTGACATTAGCAGCAGCATAAATGGGCTTAAAAAAGGGTTTACGGGAATACACATTTCGTCCTTGTAGAAGAAGATTTTGGGCTGCAAGAAGGTTCATTTGAAAGAGGAAGGTTCAATACAGTACGCTATGGCCATGTTTCAATGAAATTATGTTGATATTTAATAATACAAGCGTTCCAAGTAGAGAAAAAAATTAACAAAATATAGCCGCAGATTCAAGTACTTTTAGGCCCCTAAAAAATGGGTTTTGACTGAAACCATGACCAGAGCGCACTAGCTGGAACCCTTAGCTGTAAATTAAAGTATATTTTGTCTTCATTTATTAAGAAATAAAGACAAGTATATTCGCATGTCAGCATTGCCACAGACCAATGTCTTCCTACCATCAAAAGGGTTGTAATTATGGGGTAGAATATCAATAGTAGCTGGTATAGTAGGATGTGATACAAAAATGGTAAAGGGGCTCTAGAGTCCCCGAGATGCAAGATACGAAAACACATTAGATGATAGATCTAATCTATACCTCGTCGATGGTTAGATGTACAGTTTGAACGTCAGTTACGTTTGTTAAAATTTGAATTTTTATAATATAATGAGAACAGTTATAAATTTGTGTCAAGTACTATTAAAGTTTACATAATAAATGGTTTGTACTCTTTCTTTCTTTTTTTCTCATATTAAAGTATTATCTAAAGTTTTGCTTATTTTATATTTTCAGTTTCATAAAGCTGTTTGTTTGTCATTATATTTTATAGTAATGTGTATATTTGACTGTTAATATAATTTACATCTTGTAATTATGGAAAAATCAATGGATGTATTTACATGGACCCATAAATTGAAATGTCCACCAGCAATATGCAATGGTTTAGTTAAAAAAACGTTTGTATACAATTTATCAATTATAAATTTGTTTTTATCTACAAATATAACTGAAGGAAACTGTATGTTATAATTAGATATTTTGATCATAAATTATATTATGTTTATAGTTTACATACAGGACTTGTTGGATTCCTATGGGATGAGTTGGCTGATATTATGTTTAATGCAGAAGAAGCAAAAACAATACGGAAAAATATTCTTTTGTATCAGTTAAAACATGGGACACATAATAAATTAATTCAGTGTGTAAAAAATATATCTCAGTTGAAGTCAGAGGGAAATAATTTAAAAACTCAGATAAATAAGTTAGAAGAGGAATATGAACAGCAAGATTTTACAATTAGACAGAAAGGTATGTTTATTATTAGAAAAATATAAAGAGCAAAAATATAAAAAACATTTTTATCTAGTTAAGAAGTTGCAAGATATTTCATCCAAAATATCAGAAGTTAGAGCACGAAGAGATTTGTATAAAATGAAACATGATCAAACTGCTACACAACTTCATGATTGCAATGATATGAAATTAGTTTGGCAACATTTAATGCCAAGTACTTGCAAAGATTTAGATCCTAAAGTACTAATAGAAGTTTTAGATACAGTAACAAGTCTTTGGACTGGAACAAGTAAAAGAGAAGTATGAATTTAAATAACATGTGCAGCAATAATAATTATGGTTACATTGTTCAAATTATATTTTTAGGTGTGGAATACAATATCAAATAATCTTGATCGTATGGAAGTGCCCACATTGTGGCACCATTTATATCAGAATTTAACAAAAGATGTAGATTCACTGATTAAATCTGCATCTATGAAATCTATGGATACAGATAAAAAAAGTATAAATATTGGTATTGCTAGAATATATGGGCAGCATATTTGCATGATTTCAAAACAATTATTGTACAATACTAGAGCAAAAAAACATCAGCAAAATGTTTTAGAACTTATAGAAAAAATTGAGGTATATTATATGTATATTCATTAAATATTATAAACAATTGTAAACTAAATCTGCTTCTGATTTTAGGTAGCTTCAAATAATTCTGCAGATATAAGTGAATGGTTAGCATTAGAATTGGAGGTCTGTAAATTAGAAAGTGAACAAATAAATTTACAAGAAGAAGTTGATAAAATTCGAAAAAGTTTATATGAAAGTAATATATTTACAATTGACTTGTCTCAGATTACTTCAGAAATACAAAATATTAATTTAGAAAAAGTGTGTTTATATTTTTTTTTGAATTATTGTAATTTTAAATTATGTTACTGTATTTTACATTTATTTTAATCTAATTCTAGATGGACTGTATACAAGAAATACAACAGTCGTTAAGTCTTTTGAAAGCTGCACCAACGTTTCTAATGAAAGTAAAACAGAAAATAAATTTAGAATTAGAAAAAATAACAACAATGCGGATTAATGGTTATGATTTATTAGAGTTAAACAATGATTTAACTACTGAATTAGATATATTTCATGAAGCCTTAGATCTTAATGCTCTAAGAAAAATTATTCTAAAAGGAGACATTGGCGTCTATAGGTCAGTCTATTTTTACATTTAAAACATTCATTTCAAACATTGAAAATACTATAATTATTTGTAAATGTTTCAGGCATACAAAAAGTTGTATAAGCGAAGCTTCTATTTCAGTTACCAATTCCCAAACTTCAAATATTAGATCTTATTTTCCAACAGTTCAAATACCACTTTATTCTTTAATAGACTGTTATAAAAATATAATTTTAATGTTAACTTGTAAAAGAATTGAGTGTTTAGAAATTGAGGAAAATCCGTCTCTATTACCAATACCTATATTAGCACACAAAGAAAACAATTACAATACAGTTGAACTATTTAAGTTATCAGAAAGTTTCAATACAAAAACAAAAGCAGAAATCGCGGAATTCAATGAAATATTAAATGCTTGGTATGTACAAGAATAAAAATTACCATCTTCACTAAAACTTGATTAATTCCTATTCTATTATTTGCAGGATACATCAAACAGTTCAGAAAGTAATGGAAATTATTGATAAAACGGTAGATGATGCAACTTTCTCAGAATGGATTGAACGTTATGATTTGCTATTATATATGTTGCAAAATTCTACCTAATGTTACATATAAATATGCCTATTATATTTATTAAAAATTTGTGTAATGTTAAACTTTTTAATAAAATGGGTATTTAATATATAATACATATGTACAAAGGTTTATTGGATAATATGTATTTATATGAATTCTTGCCAATAAAAGATTTTATAAAAATACAGCCAATATTTTCATTAATAATTGGCATGTATAAAAAATATATAAACATATCTACATATATGTTTTAAATTTCCTGAAGATTTAGTGATTTCCTTAAAAAGAGTAGTTATTTCTTGGCTGCATAAGAATTTATGGACGTTTACCGCTGTAATGATGGCGGGTTTTTGTAGTTGTATTGTATAAGCAGTGTAAACAACGTGTGTAAAAAGTAACGTATAATAACTAAGAATCTATATAGAAATTAGATTCAATAATAAAACTGTGACTGTATACTTTAAGTGTTTATAATAAAACAATTTATTTCGTTTCAGAATGCTGTCAACTGTTTTAAAGTCTGTATTTGGTTATGATGATTTTAAAAGTGATATTCAAAAACAAGCAACAACTGCTATTTACAAAGGTTGAACATTGATTAATAATAATCTGCATGTAAATTTATTTAATTGTGAATATCTAGTAGATTTTGTTAATTTTTAATAAAGTAATACATTTCACCTTATATACATATTTTTTAGGTAAACAAGATGTATTTGTTTGTATGCCAACTGGATCTGGTAAATCACTTTGTTTTCAACTACCAGCTATAATGAAAGAAAATAAAGTTACAATTGTTTTTTCACCATTATTAGCTTTAATGAAGGTATACAAGCTAAATTAAATAATATATGCTACATAGTTATGAAAAAGTTAGATAACTAATGTACCATTGATTGATTACAGAATCAAATAGACTATTTAGTTAGTATAAAGATAAATGCAAGATCACTGAATTCACACACATCTACTAAAGAAAGAAATGCAATAATGAAAGATCTATTGTCTGATTCGCCAAAAATTAAATTATTATATGTTACTCCAGAAATGGGGGTACAACAACATTTTCAGGTATATTTCAAATTCATATTTATGATAAAATGTTAGAATATGGACGAATAACTATTGAAATTTTTTTCCTGTAGGATATGATAATTAAATTGAAAAAAATAAAAACGTTATCTTATTTTGTAATTGATGAAGCACATTGTTTAAGTCAGTGGGGTCATGATTTTAGACCCAGTTATAGACAGTTAGGAATATTTAAGAAATTATGTCCTAATATTCCTATAGTTGCATTAACAGCCACTGCAGCCAAGGAGGTAGATGTTTTATAAATGAATCTTTGCTTAATATTATTTATTATAAAACACATTATTGCAGGTAAAAGATGATATCATGCAATCTTTAAACATGAAAAATCCTTTGATATTCTCAGTACCTGTGTTTAGGCCTAATCTTTATTATGATGTGTGGTTTATAGAAATATTAGATAAGCCTTTTGAGCACTTGAAAAGTTTTATAATAGAAACTCTTGGTTCTCAAAGTGAATCTATTGCAAAAGTAAGTTTTAAAACTAATTTTGAGTTTTTAATTTCTATAAAAATTGACGAAACAACATTTCAGGTACAAAAAAATTGTGGCATTATTTATTGTAGGAAAAAGGAAACATGTGAAATAATTGCAAATAAATTATCTAAATCTGGTATATCTACTCTAGCGTATCATGCAGGTTACATATTAGTATTATTTTAAACTTGTATGAAATTAAAATCTTTGAAAAACATAGCGAGGTAAACAATTACTTTTGTAGGTTTAAAAAATCAAGAACGTAATGAAGTTCAAAATAAATGGACATCTGGTGAAGTACCTGTTATTGCAGCAACATGTAGTTTTGGAATGGGTGTAGATAAAGGATCTGTTAGGTACATTGCATTATTTAATAAGAAGTATACAAGTTAGTTTACATTGGTACTTTATTTTATTTATGTTACATAGATTTGTAATACATTGGACAGTTCCTCAAAATATAGCAGCATACTATCAAGAATCTGGTAGAGCAGGTAGAGATGGCAAACCGGCGTTTTGTAGAATTTATTTTAGTAATGAAGAATACAAGCCGATTGCGTTCCTTATCAAAGAAGAAATTACACAGAAAAATTCTGAGCTTGTAAAATTAAGATGGAACAATTTTGAGAAAGCTGTTTCATATTGCCTTGAAGCAAAGTAAGAATTATAAGTTTTCATAGGTATTTTTTAAGTATGTGTTTGATGATCAACTTTATGATGTACTGCTTAGATGTAGACATGCAGTATTTTCTAAATACTTTGGGGATGGGCCGCCACCATGTAAAGATAGGTGTGATGTGTGCAAGAACAAAGATGCTGTTCAAGCAATGATATCACAGTTCGAAATGTCTCAAACTAGATTACAAAAATCGAATAGTAATTTAGATGGCATTGCATTATCAAAGTATGATAATCTGTAAGTAACTTATAATTATTTTGAGCTCAAGGTATGGCTATTTAAACTAACTATTTAAACGTATAGTGAAGATGAATATAAAGAAGAATCAGGTACAAGAGAAAGACTCATCGCTGAAAGTAAACGGGAAGCTAAAGAGTTAATTGAAAAACAGTTTGCTATACGGAGAACTAATAGTAAACTGGATGAGGTATATACAATTTATATTGTATAGAGGCTTAATTTTTTTCAATTAACGTATTATTCCAGATAAAAAAACAAAATCGCGAAGATGCTAAACAGTCCCATGTACGTGCAGCTGAAAGTACTGATATAAAAATAAAAGGCTTAGCTGTTCAAGTACGAGAACATTTTTATGTTCAGTTAAGATCAGCATTAATAGATAATTACGAAAAAATGATTTCCGATATAAAAGGACAATCTCAAGAGAAACATTTGCACAGTATAGCACAAGATCTTGAGTACAGGGTGTTGTGCAATACTAAAGTTGCAAATAAATATAAATTTGATATGTCTAAATTGGTGGGTAATATAGCGATTTATACACATGTAAAATGTAATATCTTTAACTGAATGTTTATTTTATTCATAAATACAGATTTCTTCAGTGCGAAAATGTACTAGTACTAATACGCTTCATGAATGTTTACGGGATTTTAATGTAAGTTCAAATAATGTCACTACCTATAAAAGTAAACAGGAAGTAAGCAATGATAGTTTAGAACATGATACAGAGAGCGAAAGTGTGATAAATAAGTTTGATGATAAAGATATTCGTATTTCTTTTCAAGAATCAAGTATAAGTAAAGATATTCCATGTTCTACTTTTAAAACTGCTTTAGAACTTCGAAATGATAGAAATTTAATAGCAGGCACATCTAATGATAGTAGAAACTATTTGTTCGATGCAAGTATTTTGAAAGATGATAGTAAAGATGTGAACGCGATAGGAAGGAAAAATAAAGACCGTAACTCTCCTGTTAAAGTAGATATTAAAAACAGTGAAGAAGATAAAACAATTGAACTTCAACAATTAAGTGGATTTACGTGCGCTCGAAAACTTCATGAAGAGAATAACATATTATCGAAAAATTACAGCAAAAAATCACGGAAATCTTTGGCAAAGTCTGTAAAAAATGATTCGGAAAAGAAAAAAGCGTCCCCTACGAAAAAATCAATTTATGAAAAAATTTTGCAAGCTGCAAGTGCAAATTTAAAAAAAACAGTTGAAAACACAACTAATTCATCAATTCCAGAAGCCAGTAACAACATTGATAGTACAAGTTTAAATAAGGATGAAATAAAATTAAATAGTCAAACTAGAAATAAACGTAAAAATATAAATTCATTTAAAAGTAGTATAGATGTCGAATCTAATAAAAAATTAAAACTCAATGAACCGCAGGTGCAGGTACTTGCAGGTGATACTGAAAGAATAAGTGATCATAATAATGGAGTTAATGCAAATGAAACTTCTACTAATGAAACGATAGAAATTGAAGACAGAAAGGATGATATTAAAGATGTTCAGTGTCAAGAAGAACTTTCAATGATAAAAACCGTGGAAGAAGAAATATTAAGAGAGCATAAAAATTTACAAAGAAAACAAGATAAAACCCATCGATCAAAACAACAGAAGGGTGAAGATAAAAAAGTACTTGTACCAGCAGATAAAGCTACACAATTTAAGACTGCAGAAATTTTAAAAGCTCATTTAATGAAATATTATCCATCCAAACGTATTCCCGATAGAACAACATTTTCAAAAACTTGTAGAGAAATGCACCATAAGCTACTCGCTAAAAAAATATTCGGTAAAATAGATTTTGGTTAATCTTTGTATCATAATTATTTATTATTGTATCTTAATAAATAATTATTTTCAGATAAAGAAGGAATACGACAATTTGTCATAAAATATATGGCACAGAATTAATTCCTTTATAAAAAATGTTTACTATATAACAGTAATTAAAAGGTACTTGTATATATACATCTATATAAATATGAAATAATAAATTAATTTATCCATTTTGCTTGTTTTTTAGATTTAAAAATTATTATGTATACATAAGAAATTACTGCTAATTGTTTATGAATTTTTAAAGGCATTATCAACTTCTATTTGTACCCTTATTTGTATACTGTATTTTCTTATTTATATGTATTGAAAATTTAGTTTCTCTTGCAATTATTTAATTCGTACATGTGCAAACGATTTATATGTATAATATTCGGTATGTTGTGCTAATAATTTTATTACCTAACTTTTCAAATTATTTTTTTCATTGAAATGGTGGAGGAATTGTCAGGTATTGTCCAAATTACAGAAAATATATGAATAATGCAATATATTTTTGTTATAAACTTTATTTATTGAGCAATTTTTATGAATACTTATATCATTACAACTTTACTGGCAAGAATTACAATATTTGCATGGAAAACATAACAGATATTATACAGCTGAACAGATTTTATTAAACAAAATTATTCTTTTAAACTATATGAAATTTGCAACTAAAGGAAACAGAAATTATTATGTGTACAAAGTGGTTAAGCAACAGTTGTTTTATTCTATTATAGTTAATGTGAGAATATTTCATAGGAACATGTTTATTTTCATACTATAACAATACTGTTTCCTTAGCTGATCACCAATAGTGATTAATTTACATAGACGAGGCAAGATTGATGTTTAACAAAGTTTTATGGCTATTTATCTTATAAATAACTTATTAATTACGAGATTACATCTTATTATTTTTGACTTAGCACATATTTCAGATGAAAAAAAATAGTGCTATCAAGTTTACTGTTTTTACATTTAACATGCAAGACAGTAAATGCGATAAATTCAACATTACCCTATATGACGTGTATAAACTTTAAAGAATTATAAACAATGCAAATACTACATATTGGTGATTCATAACTAAATGGCTATGTACAATATTTACAATTGCAGCAATTTTTTTTTAAAGCTAACAGAGTTTGATAGTCGGTCTTTATATTCCCCACAATATTCTCATACTTTATAATGGTAATAATAATTTCTGTACTGTAATAATTCTGTATTATTTAAGAATTATTTAGTTACAATTATTATTGAGGGAATTATTTTTAATAATGAGATTATCTGATAGATTCATATTTAAATTGCAACTGGACGAATGATTAATTTCTATACTCGTGAAGTATTTCGACAGTTTTTATACGATATAAAATAATACTTTTAATAGCTCGTCGTAGAGCAAAAATACCTATATATGGTACACAATTGTTTATTGATCTTTCAAAGAATTATTAAGAGTTATTACTCAAGTACCCTTTTTTCCTTGTCCATTATATGAATGTATTGAAATACATTTTAATTAAATTTCGCCGTCTCATATTTTATCTTTCAATCACAACTACAAACGGTGCAATTCCAAATTGATACTTTTTACATATCATTTACTTCTTATATTTTCGATCCTTCTTCCATTTCCTTTTAAATTTAAAAATGTTAACATTTTTAATCATATTAAAGTTCCATACAAATCACTTAATCGCTATAACCAGTCTATAATATCAGTCTTAATGCAATTAATCGTTTATGTAAACTGTGCATGTTTTATGTAAACGATTATTGCATTTATCTTTTCTTCTTCTTTTCTTAATAAGCACACCGGTTTTTCGATGAAGTGTAAAAGTGTAAAAGAAATATTAAATAATATGAGATTTTATATATGCACATGAAAGTCTATAGAATGTAGACATTTGTTTTTCTATTACTTCTCATGTTAAATTATATATTTAAAAAATTAAATTCCGAATTTATTTTGAATTTGCACCGTTCGTATTAATAAATGGTAATTGAAATTTGGTAAGAAAATATGAAAAAAGATGCCATTACCACGTTTATAGTTGCACTTGCGCTAACTGATAAGATCTTTTGTAGTTCTTTGCTAAGTGATTTATATAGTTATATTTTTGTTATCGAAGTGTAAATATAATATATTGAGATTTCCATTGAATCTTGAATTTTATGGAAATAACGATAAATTTCAAAGTACAAAAATATTCTACTATTTGTCGATTTGAATTTTGATTTTTGATGCGCTCTGGACGTTTTGAGCATAAATTAGTTTTACGCGGGAAATAGCCTCTTTCAAGAATTCCGACCGTGATTTATCGGTCACACTATATCTTCTTTTAAACTCGATAATTCCGGCGATTCTTCAGTGATTGGGCTTGCATCTTTCGATTCAAGTAACGTACTATAGTACAAATCCATTTCTTTGACTTTGCACGACATCCGTCTATTGTTGTTGAAACATTGTAATTTATTACTTTGTATTTCAGGGTCTAACCATTGCCGGGACACCGTTGATCCATTCAGTTGATACATAAGGATTTTGTGGATACTGAGCACTATGAGTATAGAGCCGATAATAAATAAGGAATAAATTACTATGCATTGAAGAACTGGTAAGAAATTTAAATACAACCAGAAACGAATATTCATTGATGTTGGTAACTCATACATTCCCTGAAACATAACATTTTGAAAATTATACTTTTCTCATAATGTAGTAAGTGTACAAAGATATTAAAAAATTCTATATTATCGATCTGTGATATCACACTTTAATAATTTAAAAATAGGAATCCGCGGGAAGTAGGAAGAGTCGGCAAAGCGAATGATCGGGTCAAGTCGGTAAAGGTCAGGCGCGCTCGGTTTGAGTTCCCAACATTATCATGCTAGGGTACCGTAGTTGCGCGCCACCACTCAGTCAGAGAGGGTGGTTGCACGCAGATTTCGTCTTTCAAACCTTGTTTTACACATCGTGTCTACGCGACGCTAAGGTAATTATGACAGTTATGACACCCTAATTAATAATAATTGATATTTTCTTGATACTTACAATTTCGAACCATAGTAATGGTAATACGAAGTTTTCAAATTTTTCCACTCGAGCCATGTGTCCAATATTTTGCAGTGCCATGTTTATTTGGAAACGGAAGGCCAGTTTAAGAGGAAGGCCTGATTGTGGCTGAACGTATGCAAATGATTCGTGAAGATCTGCTCTTGGGGTCAAACCCTTGACCGCTGCCAACAGACTTGGATCAGATTTGTAGAAATGCGGATACGAGAGAGCGATTGGGAAACCTGTAAACATCGAAATGGTAAGGAATAAGAAATTATAATTATCAACATATTTTCACAATTATTCTAACGATAACATGAACGTAGTGCATGTGTATATTTATGAGTATTATCGTTCTGAATGTATTATTCATTTTAATTTATAATGACGTTCATTAACGCATACTTTACACATTACGTATAATTATCATAAAAGTTTAATCATTTACATTGACGTGCATGAACGATAGAAAAAGTAAGGTGAAAGCAATAAACCGTAACGATACGTGTGACATAACCAAAGTACAGTTACTAATTTATAAATAATTGTCTTACCATAGTAACAATCGGTGACATCAATTAAACCAGGCTTCAAACAGTATCCCTTCCGACAGAAACATTTGTTTTCTGGATTGTAGGCACCATTGTCTAACACGTTCTCCACAAACTTGTATTTATATGCGTGCAATCCTTGGATGTATGTTTCTTCAGTTTGAGTCTATAAAATTTTATTTCAATTTCGTTTATTGTACTTTTCGACTTGGTATTTTGAAAATTTCAAATTAATTAAAATTTTATTGAACACTAAAGTCTTGAGATATTAATAATTTTTTAAATGAAGAGTATTTAAATTATTCTACACGCAATTAGTGACGTGTATGCAAATATGTATATTTATAAAATATTTTCTCTTTCCAAGTGATTTGAAGCATTACCTTAATTCGCACATTATTTTATATAATTTACATACTGTTTACACGATTTAATATAATATAAACATCTAAATGTTCGCAAGTTACTCATCATTAATTACTGATGGAACAATTTTAATTCAGGATTAAAATTTGCATACTTGAAATTTCTATAGACTTTCAATACTTTTAAAAATGTTTAAATTTGAATAAAATTCGAAATGATTCAACATACCATGTACGCGCTGCGACATAGACTCTTTCTGAAGAATAATACAGTGTCATTTGGCTCGAGGTAACTTGGAAATTTCACTCCATCACTAGCATGGTTTACATTCGCGCATTTTCCTGTCCATTGTGGTAGATTATAATCACCATTATATTTTTCAATTAGTCCTGTTTCACGAATGTCTTTTTCTCCGGTGTAAACGGTTTCGTAATCACCGTCGAAATCGTACATCTAGGGGGTCAAATAAATCATAAATAAAATCATTATGAATTAAAATGCCTGTAATTTAACAACATAATTTACTGTAGGCAGAAAGTATGAGTAGGGAAATACGATAGATGGTTTCCTTGGTAATAGATGACTGATATTAATTGCCGACTGCACGAACTTTCATATTCATTAGATTTCTATTAGCATTTATAATATATGTAACTCAAATTTATAGTTATGACTTCAGAAAAAAGAAATGCTGAATGTTTCTAAATGTTTTTTTCTTCTTTGAAACTGTTATTAATCTGTAGATTCTTTACAAAACTTACCCTATCAATAAGACCCAATTTATCGAATTTGATCCAGGATGGCATCATCTTGTTACCAAGAGTGACAAGGGTAGATTCGTATCCGAACATGAATTCTTTAGCAGTCATTTTGACCAGAGGCTGTGAATTTGTATTCATAATCAGTAGATTCAAACCCAATCTGGTGAAGTAGCTAGCATCCTTCATCACATTTGTGATACTCTGAAAGAAAGAAAGAAAGAAAGAAAATTATTCGAGACAACGAACTTCTTGAAAATGTACACAATTAAAAGTGAAATTAATTTGTCACTATTTGTTAATTAACACATTCGCAACTGTTGACGTACTACTAGGTATTTCCACAGTATTCATATTTTTATATTCGCAATTCATAAGAGATAATGTTAATTAGAATTTAAAAATTTCAACAAAATATACACCAGCTCTGCAAATAACTAAATATTTTACAATTTTCGTATTTAGGTTTCTGTCATTGGATCAGAGTGATCTTACATTCGCCTTGCGAAGGTTAATTAACATCATCATCTCTCTTTTCGGTCGTAGACTTTCAATTTTCGAGTTGCTACTCAATTAATCTTCCTTATTACGAAGCATGATATCCGATGTGCGCTGCAGTTAATTAGCGATGATTTGTTACGGTATAACATTAAACAGGATATAATTTATCCTCTGCTTATTTCATTCCGTATATTTTATTCCGGTATCAGGTTAAACGATCTATGAATTGATCTATCCATTGAATTAAACAATTAAGAAAACTTTCCTAATTTTTATCTTTTTATCAAAAGTTCATTGACGTTCTTGTAAATTGACCAGTTGTTCAACTAACCTACCATAAGAGGATCTTGCACGCCTTAAGTCAACGTTCCTGTTAATTGCATACATATGCATGCATCGGGTGTACCAGTACGTACACGCGTTGCATAAGGATGCACTTGACAGATTGTTGCGAACCATCATTGTTAAAATGGTTCTTTTGAGAAACGTAGATCTTGTTTCATCACCGCTCATCCATCATTTTTCTAGTCATGTTTATTCAGTAGCTATTGAAATACTATAGGGTGCTTTTAACCCTAGAGGTACTATTCATTACTACCAGTGTTGACCGATATTTAACCCCCTTTTATTCGCCGATGAAATATCTCACGTATTATTATAATTTTTATGCAGAGTGATCCATTTTAACACGTTGAATGCCGCAGTGAAAATTGTCGCGTGTAGTAAGATACATTATAATACAAGGAAATGAAACGTTGATGTCGCGAGGGTCGTAGGAGATTAAAATTTACATTTTACGTCTCAGAATGTTTCATTTGATTTGAAGTCGTATTATTTGCATATTGTTACATCCTCGATTAACGGTGTATAGGCGTAACGACGGAAATCGACAATTAGACGATTGCAAAAAGATGTTTGTGCAGTAAACATTGTGTGTAAAGAAGTATTGTATTTCTAAAATATGATACCTCTAATTATTTTAAGTAGTATCGTTATCAACCTTGTACTTTCATTATGAAATATTCCTTCGATTGATTATAGTTCACGGTGCTTTCTCAACGCGAACATGATGCATCCGTTAAGAATGCCTTCGTGCAACGAATGGAAATTTATTGTACGCACACAGAAAATTGCGGTTTTCTTTTATCGGACATAATTCTAGGGAAGATGAATCACGTGGAAAATTTCGTTTATTCTTTTCCGCATTTCAGGAATTTTTTAATTGAGAATAGTATTCGAAATAGACCCTTTTTTTCATTGGGTAACAAGAATATAAACTTAGAACTTGTTTTCTTCTCATTGTCAATCACTATTCGTCTATTTTTAATTATATTTATCTAGACGACACATCTTGTATGTGTATCATTATTCTTTTATTCTACCTATGTTATCATAAAAAAAATTATACTACTAAGAAGTTAATTAACACTAGATTGCCGGATTCACACCCGTCAAAATAGGTATAGCACATATGGATTTTTGGAACTAAGGAGCGGGGAGAGGAAGGAATTAGTATTTTTATACATTTCATAATTCTATTAAAAACCAACATGTGTTTTAAGAAAAATTATTTAAGTTTTTCTACATATATAGCAATAAAATCGTAAATGAATCAAATTGACACGCTCCGGCAATGTAGTGTTAAATACGATTGATTTAAATAAGCGAATAGATATTCAGATCGAATTTACGTCACGAATATCGGTTATTAATCGAAGAGCTCAAGGTTCACTGATGAGGCTGGTTATAAGTCAACAAGCGAAAAAAAGGGCGGAAATGCAAATTCATGATCTGATTCCGTTTTGAAAAGATGTAATTTGTTGGCTAACATTACGATGACATTTTTATGCTTTGTTGTTTATTCGATTGAAGATTTTATTATTCACGATGATTAGCTAACTATTGCTCGAGGTACTTCCAATTAAAATAGACTTTTTTTTTAACCAAAGTTGAATGGTTTCAACAATAACCACGCTGATGATTTACTGACGATCGGTTCACGATCCGCTCTTGGTTTAATTAAATTTCAATTTTTAACTTACAAAATTGATTTACAGTAACATGAATAGCTTCTTTGCAACATAAACAAAACGAAAGTCTAGCGGTGCTACTCTTCAAAGAATAAAGTTTGATAAACCGTTGACCTCATTGGCAATCGTCCAACGCTTGGAAACAATTTATCAATCTGCTACTATGTATTTATTGTTCGATACACGACGAACACAATATTGAATGATTTTTCGGAAGAATCAGTTAATCATTCGGACGGATAACTTTGATATTCCTTTCGCGTTCCGTGTGCAACTCTTTATCTTTGTATTAGACGAATAAACGACATTGATCGAGCATTTTATGCGCTCGTTTTGTCAATTTTAATGTATCGTACTATTTGAATATTATCTTTTGATAGAATGCATTTTAAATGAGAAATGTGAAATTGGTCGTTCTTACAACTTTGGTTATTCTACTGTGAAAACATGAATTATTAAGGATATGAATGTTTAATTTTCAAATTTGAAATTTCAATTTCCTACCTTACACTATTAATATAATATTGATGCTAATCAAAGTTATTTAATGTAGAATAGCAGAATAAATAATTAACCCGTTGACCTATCCGCGGTACCGAAAATCTAATTAATTAAAAAACAGAAAAAAATTAAGATAGCATTAATATTATGTCAAAATTATGGATTAATAAATTTGAGGTATAAATTGAGAGATTATTCTAAGTAAATTTAATTATTTCTATTAACATGCGTCTGACCACATATTGATATTTCTACTGCGGCAGTCGTTAAATGGAAAGATTAATAATTCTGAAATAATTGGGAGCAATCAATGCGAATCGCACTATTCTATTCATTGCTACGTATGCTATTCTGTTTCGTATCGTTAAAGTATTTAACATTATTTCCATACTTTTAATTATTTTAATGAATTAAATTTGCGATAACCTTCGTGATAGATAACATGCTATAATCGTAACATTTATCCAAGATTATTATAAAATTAATTCGATATGATATGCTTATAAGAATCAAGCTAAATTATTGATTATAGAAAGGTCATTCGATTGATATGATGATGTTTATATCCGCGTAAAACTCCGTACGATTAAATTGATATTTCATTGATTGCGGTGTACCTATATAGAGATATCAACACGACCTGAAACAACACACGCAAAAGCATCGCGTGTGAAATCTTTTCTTTTAAAAGGCTATATACGCTATACAGATCATTTTAAATCTGTCGGGTCGCATACGTCATTTAATTGTCCTCGCTACGGTTTAGCGTGCACACATATTTATCAACGTTGCAAAATATCTCGTATGAATTGACCAAGAGCTTGTTATTTTTTGATTTTTCCTACCGGCGCCTCTCGACACCGATCAATTTATCTTTCGCGAATTGAAAGCAAACGAAAACAAATTCAAACTCGTTTAACCCGTTAAGTGCCTTGGTGCAAGTGGCCAAACGCTAATCATTAAAACTGATTTACTTTCAATTCTAAGTTTTTCATTTGCTACCTTATTAAAGTTTGTCTACCTTTTTTTTTTATTGAAGTATGTTGAATTTTTCATGATAGACATCGGTGACCACCACGGCATTTAAGGTGATATCTAATAATATGTTTCGTATATTTCTTACTCAACTATCTCAGACTGCAAAAACGATAGTCATTTAATCACTGAGAAATTAAAAAAAAAATTAGAACACAGAAAAAGCGCACTAAGCGCTTAATTAATACAGGAGAGTTGTAAAGTACCGAGAATACCAATTATAAGAAAAAGTAGTGTTTAACGCGATTATAGAAATTTACAGTATACGAGTCGCGTTTTTCAATTTCTTGTAGGTTATTATTATGTTTCCGAGATAAAAAATTTGATCCGGTAAATAAATTATTAGGGAAAATTTTTTGTTTCTATTTACCAGTAAAGCAATATTTGGTAGTATCGCTTCATCCTCTTCCCTGCCTCCGCTCATTTCCGGTACATATTTCAGTGGATGATGCGGGAATGTTGTCACAGTGCCGTTGTCGTTGAACTTGACATCCGCGTGTTCGAGCACCTCTCTGAAATTTTCTAGAAATTATTCTCTAGAAATGAATAATTAATTGATTTAAAAAGAGGTGTCCGATCGAAGAGAAAATATCAAAGTTCATAATATAAAGAACATATGTTTCAAATTAAACACTATTCATTTTTGTAGCATAATTTTAAGATAATGTTATCTCATGAATTTGTATACATTTAAATTGACTAACTGATATGCAAGAATAATGCAACAATCTAATACTACGAAGTTCATCGAACTTCTTTTTCTTTGTCAAAATATTGATTGATCGATGATTATGTATACATACCTGTAAGTATAAGGGCCAATTTCCTGGAACTTGAGCTTACTCTCCTTACCGGACATGTATTCATCGCGATTCGTCACGTTGAATAGATAGATCTTTACGTAAAGCTCGACATCGGGTTTCCGCCATAGTTCGAAAATTTCACCGCCGTCGCTGAATATCACTTTCAACTTGAAAAGTAGATCGTACGGTTGAAGTACAAAGAGGATGCAACCAGTGGCAAGACCGAGCGAGCCCAAAGTCATCAGCATGAAAATACCTGCACGTAGATGATAAAGAGTTGGTCAATGACGCATTCGTGAAAATTGTCACGATGAGCTAGCGATTAAAACAATTAACGTAATAATCTGATACAATTTAAATAATTAAAACCTCAACAGAGGTTTTCACATTATTGTTCAAAATTAAAAGGTGCGATAGAAGAAGGCCCACTGTTATTGTTTAAAAATTTCATAGGAGTCACTGTAATTTGTAATAGTAGAAATCAAATTATTGTTCATAGAAATATTAGAAATGGCGAAAAGTGGAGCCCGAAAGTGGTATTTTGTTATTACAAAAATTAGTCGCACGTTTGTAACTTTGAAAAGGTTAATTAGCACATTTATCCCTCGAACAGCCGAAGGATATTGAAATCTACCTGTTAAGAAATTTTATCAGGTGCCACTGAACATTTTGTTACACGTGACAACATTCGAAGGTTTTCTATTTTACGGACGATTTATAACATTGTAGAACCTTTTATTCAACCAGGATCTTAGCAAACAGGCAAACAAATTACGTCGTGGTGTAACACTTGTTTTTCTTTCTAACGAATGACCGACAACGCATAGATGATTTTTCTCGGTACAAATTAAATGATTGTCTAGAATTCTTGCACGCTTCAATTGCGTAACAGAATAATGATCTACTTCTTTCACGCGTCTTAATTTTTTTGCTTAGAATCTGACAAGATTCTAATTTAGCAAACTCGTTTCAAATTATACCGCCAAGTTTGCGACTTCCGACTTGTTTCAAAATATTGCGTGTCGCGAATGATTCGTCGGATTTGCATGAGACATACTTGGAATACGTGGGAATTCCGGTTTACTCTGAAATTCTTCCTTTATCTCATATACGTGTACTCGGTCGAAAATCGTTTGATGAATTTTAAGAGAACACGCAACGAGATTCAAGGAAAACGCACCGGCGCGGCGTTACGCTGATTTTTAACATACTTGATCGTGCCATCATCTTTCTTTTCTAAGAGAATGAATATCATTTTTCTGGCGTTTAATCGCAGTCTCGGTTTAAAAAGATACAGCAGGGACAAAGTTTTCCTACATTGTTGAATTTCAAATTAGTATAATTTAAGAATCTAATCTATCTTTGGGTTGTGTTTGACTGAACATCCGCCATTAGATTTTAGAATCTTAGAATCTTGGAATTTTTTAATTTTTACATTTTAGAATCTTATAACCTTAGAATTATATACTACTGAGGAAGCCAGTCTCCATTTTTAGGGATCAAAGCCCCCTTGGTCCCTACATAACGACGTTAATGTACACCATTCGTGTTTCGAAGGTTAATCATGTTATAAGCAAAAAATCAAGAAGAATTCTGTGTACCTTGTCCCTCCGAGTGTTGTCCGCATAAAATTTTAATAAACTTACCTATTGATGGACAAGCACTTTAGGCTATCTTCCTAAAAGTGATCGAGTCGGGATTCAATATGAAAAGGAAATCAACATTGCTCATCGACGCACGATAATTAACCTGACATTCATTAAATTCATTCGTTCGCGAAGCATTTACGTGTTCTCTTACGATGTTGATCCTTGACGGAATAAATTTATTGCGACGACATGTTGCGTATCACCGGGATTTGCAGCGTGTTATTTATCGACTCGTTCGCGAAGAATTACGAAAAACCTTGGATCGTCTTTGAGATTAGGTACGAAGGACTTTTCCTAGTTTGGATTCTGCGTAATCTTCTATTCTTATTACGCTAATTTTGATGAAATTTGTCATTGTACAATTGCAAGAAGATTCAAAAGATTCATACTTCTCTAAGATACATGCAAGTGGCTTGATAGCTAGAAATCTTTAACATTAATGAAAATTGGTTTCAATGAATCAGTGAGCTCATGAATTATACACACTTGCACGGATCTAGAGCGTAAAAATCAACGCGGAAAATTACAATGATTTACAATTTACAAAACACGCAACAGACTTGGAAGTTATAAGTCGTTAATGCTGACTCATTCATCTTTTCGCTATGGCAATATTCAATTCAAAGTTGTTCGCATTATATTTACATAGTGACCGTGTAACGATTCGTGCCTATAGTTACCCTCAGAAGCGAAAGGGTTAATTTCACACGTTGAAGCGTTCAAGAAACGTTTAAATTCTCAAGATTATACGCGATTTCTGCGCATTTTCTCTTCATAACTATCCACAAGGTGGATCGAATTATAATCCATTGGCCACGTAATTGTATTGGGTATCGTCTACGCGTCACGGACCAACACCGATTCATCAAGAAACGACGAACGTAGGTATAACTGATTGCTTTGGTAACCGTTAAGTAATCTCGTGATAGATGACGAGGAATACCAATGGTGTCGCGGAAATACAGTGGCAAACCTGGATTCTTCTCGCGAAGGACGAATGACGATTTTTTGACGTAGTCCGAACACGGTAATTTCGTGGGTATTCGGAGAACAATGGGGAACCACGAATCATTATGTGTTTCACGAACGGGATACTGTCTGCTCGTGATTTTGCATCAAATACAGTCCAATCATTTCCGATTCATCAAACAGAAACATACATTGTTATATAGTCTTATCATCTTGTTGGAATAACGCACGCGAACGGTATTATTACGTGTAATTGGTGAAATGAACGCGTTGAAAGGAAAATGACCAGAGGCAAATTTGTTAAATATGCAACACTTCCAGTTAGTTGTTTTCCACGTGATGGTATTATACACTGATTCACAAACGAGAGAAAAAAAAGGCGGCTTGCTAATGACATGTGCTTTTATCGCGTTTCTCGATAAATAGAGATCAATATCTTTCTAGAATTATCCAGTAAATGTAGATGCTTCTATCACCGTTATTCTTCAACATTTATTCTTTAAACTCAAATTCATTTATTTAATGACAAGGGTGCTACGATATGAAATTGTCAAGTTGTGAATGATGACGCTTCTAAAATTGTATAATAAATTACCAAAAATTCAAGGAAAGAAAGAGAAGGTACCCCCTGTGGCTGGGGGGTTTAGAATACAGCCACGGTATCCCCTGCCTGTCGTAGGAGGCGACTAAAAGGGGGCGAAAGGGACGGTATAATATCTGAAATCTCTAGACATTAGAAACATTAGTATTTGAAGGGAAGTAGCTATCTAATATTTGGCCTTTTACAAAAAATATTTGCCAATCTTTGATCTAAACGAGCACCTTCGTTCGATGAAGTTTTTTTCGATACTTCAAAGTGGCGGTTCGGTTTAGCAGGTGAATGTTAAGGCGCGGACAGGATTCGAAGCTTAACAAACACGTGTCTCTAAGTTTCGTAGAGTCGTTTTGCTCTCGACTATTGCAAGATTGCTGGCAGTACGGCACGATGTGGTAATAATTTTCCGGCGGCAATCGGGACACGACTGCAAATGCGGCATCCAATAGAAAGTGCATATTTGTCCTGTCGTTATATTTTATATCCATAGATTCGCGCCACCTTAATGGATGTACCATTGTCGAAACACAAGCTTCTGTGCGCGGAAAAGGAAATTACGAAATGTTTGCCGGAAAGATATTGTGTTTCGAGTGTCTCTCGTAATCGTTAGAGCGTTTGATTGGAAATCATTGCATGGGTTATCAATTTCAAATCTTTATTAGCTTGCATTAAACTACTTGACGAAATCTTTGACTCTCATAAAAATGAACTAATTCAAAATAGTCGAACATATGTCCTATTTAATAATCTCATGAATTTTGTCAATAGATAAAAAAGTTGCATTTGACGTTCTATCAATATTACTTTTCAATGAATATGTTAGAGGTTCCATTTTATTCGATATCTTTTCGCCAGATTAGTTTGTATTTGCATTGCTGAGTCAACACAGCATCGATATAACGTCTGTTCATTAAGTGTATACATTGTAACAACGATGCTCGACGAGTGCACATGCAAACGTATGCAGTTTATCCTCAAGCTGTCAAGAGTTGATGACTCCGTGCAATGACTTCGCAGTACACATCGAGACAAAGTACGTACAGCCGATGTTCAGTTCGGCAGTTTATGGATTTTTTCAACAGTCCTCTGTGATTCGTGAAATTGCTTCATGTAAATAAATGCAGGCACGTGCGTACCTTTTGCATAATCACAGGCACGACTCGGCTTTTTAAGAGGCGAGGGCAACCATTTGTGGAATGTCAATTTCAAACGAGACAGCTACTTGGACGGATAATAAGGCAACATTTTCGTGGTGAATGGCATTTACAGATGTTTGCTTTCGTTATATTTGCGGATGGTGCATTTTTGGCGCAATGGTACTCGTCTTTCTTCTCTTTCTTTGCATTCATCTCAAAAGAAGATTACGAAATTAGTTAAAATGGCAAACGAAAGTATAGAACTAAATTTGTAAATCTAAAGGAATTTGGAAAAATACTGTGTAGAATTATTTTTAAGTGGAATATTGAAGGTACAATTTTGCACAACAAAGACAGTCGTAAAATTATAGAAAGTGGTAATGAATGAGGCTAAACGAGTGCATAATGATGCTTCATAGTTTTGAAATAGTTGGGTAATGATAGTTCACAAGAGTAATTCTTTCCTCCTTCTATTGTTTCGTAAGCGGAGATCAATTGAAAAACCTTCTAATTATTTACTCCTTTCCACTATTTGTCATCATCATTCACTTTTTGCGTTCATTTGCAACTTCTAAGCAATTGAAAGATAAACTATACAATGTTCCATCAGTGTCTCGAATGCGACAAAAATCACATTGAAGCGATGGTATTTTGCGCAAGTAAATCAATTAAAGTCCTCCCATGGTGTTTTTTTGAATTAGCATTCCGATGGGTGCACCAAATGTCACCGATGAGTGATCAAATTGTAAAGCTTCACTTTGACATTTTGAAAGGAGCACATCTTGTACGAATACCTAAGTATAATTAGATAAAAAATGCTACATCAAGATGTACATCTGTAAGGAACAATTAACGGGATTCAAAGGACCGGTTTTGATCAAATTTTCCAGCCCGTATGAATCACAGAGAAAGAAACAGTTAGTCGTAAATTAGATACATTAATCACCATGAGAGATCAGTTTTTACGAAGATTCCAACTCCTTCATCGATTAATTATAAATTTTAGGTCTCTGTTGGAATTTAACTTTTAAATGATTTCAGCCACTCCACTGTGGCTTGTATTTCATATTTAAGATAGATTTACTACGTTGTGCAAATTCTTCCTAGTATTTGAACACGCTGTTATAATAATTCGAAGTTGTGGGAAATTATGCATTCTATTAGATTAATCGACGATTCTTCCTTCTATTTTTGTTTCCTAATTATTTGCGCATAGATTCCAATGCTATTCTTGGTGAGCAAGAAAATCGCGTATTGCAAATCCATGCCATACCAGTTACTAGAACTGGTTTAGCGAAACAGCAGAAAATGGTACCTTTCGTTCTAAAAAACTTCAGTATCATCCACTCTCTTCGCATAATCCTACCATAAGATCTGATAAGAAAAAGATGTTTCCATTACATTCTATGGTAAATCGAACATCAGTCGCAGTTCGAATAACTGCGGACCTGAGACACCAATTATGCTAATCAGATTAATCACACGTGGAATATGAATATAAAGTTCTACGTAAAACTTATTAAAGTATTTCTCAGGCTTGTTGAAACAGGTACGGTAGGTGAGTTCGGTCTGGAAATTTCTGATAGCTTGATTTTGTTGCTTTAAGTCATGGTGAACCGGTTCCCGTCGATGTATCCGGTTGTTTTTACAAAATGACTCCAATGCCGTTTCCGCGTAACGAAAAATTACTTTCAGGGTGTGCACGTCATTTTCTATGGAGTTCCTTTTCTTTTTTCTTGTTTTTGTTTTGTTTATCTTTAGTCGTTGACCGTAAACTTGGAAGCCGTGTAAAGAGCTCCTTATCGGAGGTGATTGTATTAATGTATTTAATTGGAATGCATTGCACTTTTAAAGAATCGTTAAGGTTACAATGCGCAACGCTTTGTTCGGCGTTGTTCTCGTTCTTTTTTCTAAAGGAACATGGTTCCTAAATGGGAAACCGATCGCCATTTACGCCGATAAAATCTGGAAGATTCCAAATGATTTTTAAATAGCTCGTTGTGTCATTTAGGTAGATTCCATGAAAGGAAACGACGCATAATATGGGTAATTAGGTGAAACAGAGATTGTCTTTCTATGTGGACTGTTCTGTTTGAATTTTTATTCTGAACTGTTCAGAGTAAACCTTTTTATTGCACGCGATAAAGATAATATTGGTAATTTTATTATAGGTGTTAAATTGTCAGGTATACAAATAAGTTGTGAAATGAGGTGAAACATTAGATTGTTTTTCTATCAAAATGGACATTTTGGAATTTTTGCTCTACACTGTTCAAAAACTACTTTTCTATAATAAATTTGAATGTAGAAAGTAATAAAAATAATATTGGTAATTTGTATTAAAAAAATGCTAATTTCAGCAACTCGGGTAGCATTTACAGAGTAGATATTTTAATATTCAGGAATTTTACTTTAGGATACATAAGATAAATATTCCATTAATAATTTCGGGATTAAGTTAAATTTATGTTCTTTTCAAAAAATATTTCATATCAAAGGCTAAAGGCGAATTATTTCGTTGAAAACAAATGAGATAATTAACCAAATCAGATTAATTAAATTGGTTTTTTCAAGAACGTTCTTCATGTGTCAAAATTCATATTATTTCAATATGGATGTCCTATTAATTTCCATCCATTGTCTAATTTCCATCGATTGAGACATCTCAAATAATATGGCAAAAATTTATGTATATATATTCTGTAAGTGTATGTATTCAGCTATAAAATTAAAGATTTATCGAATGTCAATAGGTGGAAAGGGAAAGTCATTTTTGAATTTCAAATGTAGACTAACTGAGTGTTCTTAATTTTCCTTTTTTTATAAAACACATACATCAGATTGGTAATTAAATTTGTGATTTTCCTGCATAGTTTACTTCAAAATACACATGAGTCTATTAGCAAACGAATATTTATTCGAATGGTGTTTGCTTTAATTGGAAATTGTTATTCGTTGAATTTTAATAAATAATTTTTGGAAATGGAAAAATATGTAAATCAGACATTTTTTAAGATATCAAAGTGAGAAGTAACTAAATAACAATAATAATAGCAAGGCATTCAATGCATTTTGAAATCTTCCGTTTCTATTAACATAAACAATTTGTACAATAGAATTTTCAACGCTTTGTCCTGCCATAATATCATATAAAAAAGAAAAAGGATGTTTTCTGAGAAGTTTGGTTTATTCATGGTACATTGAATGTGACCAGAGAAACCATTACCTGCCTCAAGTTGTTTTATGTCGACCATGAAAAGTTACTTTCAATGTCTACCGTTGCTTTATCGAAACCGTCTGTCTAGCTTTCTCCTCGTTGATTTGCTGTGAAATGATTTGGTCGTAAGTCAGGTCAGTGATTTCATAATAATTGGATGAATGAATTTTATTTTTTTTCATCAGTCACTGTTTTTTTTTTGCAATCAGTCTAGACATGTCTCGCGTTAACGAGCTATCGTTAATTTGTATTGTTAAAATACCAGTTCACGGCATTGAATGAAGAAGGAAGCTTTTCATATTCGAGGATTTGATGGTGTTCTTACGATTCTCCGATGCGTGTGTCCAGGAAGGATAATCATTATTAGCATAAAGTACGCGTGCCGTTTTTTTATTGCTTCATTGAAATCTTCATATGGAGACGGGCAATCTCCTTTCTTTTTTTTTTCCTTTGTTCTCACTGGAAAGGTATTGTAATTGCTTTGTTGATGGCGAGCATGCTATCGTTGTACAAATTGAAAGGTAACGAGAGAATTAGGCGAAACTGTGTTCCTTTTTTTTACTTTTTAAAAACATTTAATCCTAGGACTTTTGACTCATGCGATAATTTAAACTTTTTTCATTTCCTGAATTCGAAATCATTTCCTTACATATACGGTATTTTGTTTAATATATGCAAATTTTTGATTTAAAAGTTTAACTGCCCAATTTTAATAGAAGCATCTTTTTATATATTATGAAGGCGTGGGTCACAATTGACTTGGCATTCAAAGTTTGATGTAGATAGAGTTGTGTAGGTGTATAATATACGCCTACATTCACTATCAGGTTTTTAATTAAATCGTTGGAAACGTTTATTATTATTTATTATTCCGTCTGAATATTTTTGAAAGGATAGTTCAAAATTTATATCGGAAATATAACGGTTTTGAGGCGTTAATGATACGACAAATTGTTTGTCGATTTTTTGTTTTCTTTTCGATCGTTGACTTTGAGAGAAATATTCTTGCGGCCATCGGTTAGCTCACTTGATTTTATTAATTGTAAATTTACGTTATTTATAATTTGACATTTGATACAGTAATGCCTTGGGAAATGATATTTATATTAAAAGTTAACCCCTTGATAAACTATGCGATTATAAACCGATCTTTGTTTCTTACAGTTCTCTGATGTTCTCTGAATTGAAAAATGTTAATCGATCGATGCCCAACACTGCTTCCATTGCACGCAATAGGCTTTGCAGGTGGATTTTATAAACCTCGCGTGCAATTTTACTAGATGCAGTAATTTAATGTAGGGTGGTTATCAGAGCATTGATATAAAGGTCTCGGAAATTTATTAGCACGAAATAGGAAGTAATTAACTATCATCTGATGGAGGTTCTAGTGTTCAAGACGCTTCATGTGTGAATAAAGAGATCAGTTCTCTATTGCTATCGATGCACAACAGTTTCTACTAACAGTTACATCCGCATACCTATCTTCACTTACCATTTTAAGTGCAATTCAAATATGTAGTTGACTACAAATTATAAAAACTTGAGATAGAAAAATATTTGCATTCTCTTTCTAAATAAGATCTTATGAAAATTCATACTTGACCTAAATATACTTGATATGGCACTCAAAATGTTAAGGTTGTTATCTTGTTGCAAAATAACTATAATTGATTGACGTTTGGCCCAAATATTATGAATCTTTATTAGGTAATATTTGCATATATTAGGTCAGTCATAATTAATGAATTAATGTGAATTTTTAACACAACATTATCTAAAGGTTTCCAGTTACAAAAATATATATACGAAATACATAAAAGTTTCACTGTATAAGCTTAGTTTCTAGAAAAACGATATTAATCATGGAACGACCTAATAATTTACACTTTGACTTCCATTTAGAACGATCCTATAAAGTATTGGTGTCTGTTAATCAACATTATTATCGTCGTTAAACCAGTTTATCCTCTGAAATCTGCGCTCGAGAAACAAGTGTTACGTTTCAAGTTAAATAATTTCATAATCGCGCAATTACATTCACGGTGAGAAATACTCCTAAGCTTATGTTGGTAAATGGAAGTTTTATTCGAATGAACGAGTGTTTCAGTCATAAAATCGAAGAATAATGAAGAAGAATGAAACTCAAGCGAAAAGTTATCGAGAGCATTTTTCTGCTAACTGACAATCACTCTCAGTACAGTATTTACTAAGTAAAAATACTCTCAATATTTTATCGTCCAAGTTATGCTCGCAGTCCCTAATCTCTGTTTGATTTATCAGCAAATTACTTACTCTTTGGCCATTTCGGTTTTCCTTCCGTGTGCACCGATAGCGTCGCGTTAAAGAATCGGTTCACCACGATCGACGACTTTCTTCTCAAGTTGTTCGTCCTGTTTATCGCTATCTCTTCCGATTCGCTGGAATCGCTCTGATTTTGATTCACGTTGACGCTCGAGTAGCGTCGACCGGCGATATGATTCCATATCATCATAAAGTCCTTCATGGTATTGCCTCGGCACTCTTGGTGAACGACGAAAGTTCAAGGAACGAGACGCACAAGATACGCGAGGGAATTCACTGATGGTTGAGTTACGAAAATCCTGTTGATTATGTATTGTCCACCTGTTCGCACGGCGAAATGTCGCGATACGGGACCGAGATATTTAACGTGGTCGTTTCTTTGAATCTTGAACACGATTCGATTCGATTCGATCCGATCAGTCGTTCAACACCGTTGCGCTAATCGTTCGAATCATCCAATCGATGCGTGGATACGTCCTGTCGAAATTCAGCCACGATACAAGGGCATGCGGAGTCGCTCCTTTCTGTCACACTCTAAACAACGACCTCGTGTTAGAATCGTCAGTTAAATTTCGCTTTCGAGTCGCTTCACACGATTTCTTCGAATGAACTCGTCCTCGCGAAAAATAATTGCGCACCGCGTTCTTCTTTGATAACCAGTCTGCCTTTTCGAACGCCTACATATATGTTTATAGATGGCTAGAAAAATGTTTCGTTCACCGTCCACGTTATATATGCTGCTCGTTCTCTCGGATCCCGGTGCGAACCGCGTGCCAGGCGCTTCTGTAGAAAAGTGATGAAAGCATGGATCGGTTGACTCCAAAAAATCTGTTATAGTCATTCCGATCCCCACTTGTGTTTCAACCGGCCGATCGTGGTACGTAGCACGTGGACTAACGTCCAATCGGTGAACAGATACCTAGCCCCACTACACAGGTGAAAAAGATCACTGTTCCTTTGGTGGTGGACACCAAGATCATCGTTGTCGCGCGACAATTGCAGTGTGCCGTTCGATTGCAACGATGATCAAAGGTCAATGGAATTATTGCAATGCCGATCGGTTATGCGTCACAGGATACACGGATATTATTCCTTTCCAATATCTGGAGCAGGATTCGTTGAAATCATTTGAATAATTTAAAGCGGTTTAATTTTCGAAAATCCTTTTGAGGGGTCGCAATGCGTCAAGTAATCATCTTTATTCTTCTACGTTCAACATTTTTGCCATTGAATTTTCACAGTCTGAACGCAAACTTTTCTTATTTTTCGTTAGTTTGCTTCGTAAATATTTACGCCAGACTACGTTAAAAAAGTATCTCGTTCCAAATGACTCGGCGAAATTGTATCAACATCGATTAAAAAAATGAGAAAAATGGACAAGCTGGAGTAAAGTTTCGTAATTTCTCAGCTAATAACAGTACTGATTCGAAATGATATGCAGTATTTTTTCAAATTCTGTGTTTTGTTAACTGGTAATTTGAACTGGATCAGTTGGATCAAATTGCAACTCATTAAATGCACGAAGATCGTTCATGGTACATACTTTTTACATCTACCCGTCATTTCAGAATACGTACTCTGTTGGATTCCCCTCTGTGTTAAATTTAACCTCGAAAAGGATTCTCGTCTGTTCGAGGTAAAATGCATCCGCCAGTAAAAATGACGCGGTAGAAACTTCGAAGTGAACTAAAGTCATTATTTGTACCGAAAAAACGTTCCTCAAGATGTTGCGTGAACGTGCGTCAAGTTGTTTCTGATTTCAAGGGAAATTTAGCTCCATGCGTATCTCATCTGGTATTTCCTCCACTTCTTGCAAATTCTTCTGAATGAAACTAGCCATTTTTTGGTTATTTTGGTTACTTTCGCGAACAAAGAAGAAAAGAACATTTCCCAATCTTCACACGACAGCATAAATGTTCCTGTTGATCTCATTTTTGCACATTCATCTCAGCAGATCCGTGCGTACTTACTACGTACGTCAGCGATCGTATACTGAATATAATTCGAACTGTTGTTTTTTTTTTATTACCTAAGATCTAGTTTCAAGTATGTAGGTATACACTACGCACCGTGACCGAGACATTCATCAACGTGTTGGAGCGTAAAGAAACGTCTACCTGATTAAATCATAATCTTTATTTGTTGTTGCAGTCTTTTCTTTACTTGCTCGTGTTCAGAATTCTATGAATGTGGTGTCAGAGTGGAAAAATATATCAATGTTCCTAAATAGTGTTTACTTCATCAAATCCGTTTTTTTACTACTAGACTATGCAATTTTTGTTGTCTATGTTTTGCGGATCTTCTCTTTTTCTTGTTTGTTAACGAAACAAGTTTTTGCATTGTTACGATCGATCACGTCAGAAATTTAATAACGAACAGTCAATTAGAAGTTTTTGAATATTAAAAATTGTGCCATTGTGCATTGAGATTCGAAGAATTCAGATTTCATTTTCTAATAGTTGGGCTACTCGAGTACCAGTAGAATCTGAATTTGAATTTGAGTACCAATAGATTTCTAATAGTTAAAGAACTATACTCAATATATCATTAAATTTCGAGTATTTTAATATTACTAACAAGAAATAGTGAGATGGATTTCTCAAAATATTTTTCTGACTTCCAAACACATCAATTGTCATGTCAAAATGTTTAATTATTTTTTAAAAGATCATACAGTTTCGGGTTGAAAAAGAAAGAGGTCTGTTTAATTTGCATTTCCGCTGAGAACTATAATACATAGAAATACTGAGACGCGTTAGGATCATTTCGACTATCCTACGCTAACTTCTTCGCTCAACCTTGAAGTTCACATTATACAGGATGTCCTTGACTCCAAACTGGTTCAAGTAATTACTTGGAAAACGTTCGTGTTCAAGGGGTACGTCGTGTATTATTTGATCTTGTTTTAATTCGGTGGAATTAAAGTGCAACATCGAAACAGCATCCTATTCTTTCATATGGTATCCTTGAGGAAACCTACAAAACAATGACCTCAAAGGATTGCATTGTGTTTTCTGTATTCTTCATTCAGAAATAATTGCTATTTGTATGAAAATTAAGAGACTTCAGACAGGAAACGAGAGTAAGATGGTTTCAGGAAATAATTTTTATAACTTTCCAGTGTCATATCTAATTTTTTGTTCGGATCTTTTAAAAAGAAACGAAAGCATATAACAATTTGTAAGGATCTCTTGATTACCAAATTTTTTTGTGCCAAATTAAACGACGTTATCATGGAACAGTTCGTAAATTCTCTTTTATATGGAACGTGGAAAAATTATAATCTGTAAACACCTGCATAACTGGTTGTGGAATTGCTTTATTTCCGAAAATAAAAAAGACTTCCTTAATTTCGCGCTAACGTGTGTTACATACTAAAATATTTTGTCAAAAACACTTTATTCGCGAAATGTTAAAATGAACCCTACGCATCATATAATACATGCATGAGAATAATAAATGCATGAGAAAGCAATTAAAAGGCGGATCATTTGTGTGGAATAATTAAGTTACCATCGTTCTTCAGGGTCCTATTTCTTTCATCTGTTTTTTATGATTTAATTCAATTTTTTTACCGTTTTATGCTACAATCTAATAACATTCCATAACAGGTCTAATAACGTACAGACCCGTAATATTCTTATATCAGTTGTCTTTGTTAGCGGAACAATTAATTAAAAGTCGAATCGTCTAGCGTCATTTCATAAATATTCATTGTGCGGTATTATTCGAACTGTTTTTTTCCTTTTAAATCTTATTTTTGAGTAGAAATTTCCATCGTTCCGTCAACAGGATCACCAATTTATACTACCACGTATTGGAAAATTTTTATCGATATATTCAGCGGTGATTATTCTTTATGACATTATTATATACAGGGTGATGAAAGGTATGATTAAAACAACGATAGATTCCGTGAATCGTATGACCGTCAGTGTTAAGGACAAGTGAAGGTATAATTTTATCCTGAGTTCAATCGCTTCCGTTTCATTTCCTTTAGATCATTCTGGATCCTTTCGATCTTTCAACGTGTATACACACTTTTTTGTTTTCGTAACGTAGACCTTCTCCGTGCATTGATCGGTTCGTAAACATACGTGATACAACGTTGAAGAATCTAGTTGATCTTATTTGCTTTATTAGGTGCGATTACCTTTTCCATGAATGCCTTTTTTCCATTCGTGAAGTAGGCTTTATAGTGAATTGATACGTTCGATGCCTCTCTTTTTTCAATAATTGTTGGAATATATTATATTTTTGAGATGTTGGTCCCCGGTGGCCCTCGGACAATCAGCGTATTAATAATTCATATTATCGTGTGTAGAAATAATAATCGAAGAAAAAAAATTCTAAGCAACATTAATATTGTATTAATTTTGCAAAGTTGGAGTAAGCATGCTATATGTACGCTAATTTTCATTATTAGCAGCGTGAAATTAAAGATTATATAAGAAGAAATATAGGTATAATGTAATTTATATTCTGTAAAGAAAGTTTTTGTTTCCGTTTTTATTATCCATATTAATAACTACTGATTAAGGTATGATATAAAAAGTTAATTAGTGTATCAGAAATGTATCAAAGAAATGAACTGGTATATGTAATAATTGTTGAAAATTATTTCGATTTACGTCAAAATTCGATCGGTAATGTTATGTGATTTCTAGTCACGTGTTACTTTTCTCTTGAAACGATATTTATGAGAAATTTCCAATTTCATAAACAGCATAATTGTCTGAGAAATGAAGTCGTTGATTGCAATTTGATGGAAATAATTTCGAGTTAACGAGTATGGGAAAATTCATCTTTTTATATTTATAGTTACATGATGTCGTATGATTTATTAAAGGTTTATGTAAACAATGTTTTCGATGCGGTAAGGTATCATAAACGAACACCATTACAGGATTTTCTGGAATCCATTAAATGCTCGTTAGGGATTGTATTTATACATGGTGTAAATTCTCGTACTTGAACTAGTACAATTAGCATCGACAAACGATTAATAACCTTGTATAAGAATTACTTCCATACCTTGTTATCAATGATTACTAATCATCATTCTTTGTACTCGTATATACTAGTTACATGTATTCAGAAACATGTTCTTAAGAATCTTATAATGGAGCATTAGTTACAAGAAAACAGCATTTTTATTTCCTTATTTTAGAAACAGTACTACATAGTATAAATTTATTATACCTTGATAATCGCTTTATAGACGTTCATTTCTTTAATAAACGCTTGGTGTTATTGAATCGTGTAAAATAAAATGACGGATAATTTATGCATCGATGATAGAAGCAAAAACGCACACAGGTACTTTACATTGCTAATCACTTTAATTATATCAATTGCGCCAGTGCACACGAGTTTGTTCTGCATCTTTTAAAAGTAGGTTGAAACTAAGTATAAATCTGGAAATTTCTTTTATTTTAAACAGTGGATAGATTCGTGATATAATAATTAAATTCCCAAGTTTTATATAATGCAATAAATGCAATAAATGCAATAAATGCACTTTAAATGCAATATCATGCACTTATTTTATTTTATTTAAGCGACAACATTATTTAGGGGATGATCTAATATTTTAAGCATAAACATTTTCAATTTAATTATGAGCTATTAAAAGACATTTTAATGAATTAAATACCAGCGATTGATTCATAAGGAATTATTCTTTTGAAACGTATACGAGTATAATCCTCTGTTCAGTGTTCCATTAACCTTGTGTTTGCGACTAACGGTACTAGGAATTCTATTGGCATGACTTAGAGATT